TTTTTTTTTTTTGGTTGGTCAAAGACCCATAGTACATCGCACAGAAATTTTTTAATTTATATAATTCAAGATTAATCTATGATAACGAATAACAATAAGTTATTAATTTTATAATTTGTATAATTATATTCATAAAATTTGTAAAATAGTAAAGATAAGCACAGACTTCAGCTAAGAAATACAAGTGCGTTCCATTTTTGTTGTGAACACGGTTATGGTTTGATAGTATCATATTATTATATTATAATGTTTTATTGTTTTGTGCTCAAGTGCCAAGTGGTATATAGTTAATGGGGACATGGTATATTATTTGCGGTTAATTATTGTTCTATGATTATATTTAATTATCATAGATAATAAATAACCGGTGATTGTTCTCGGTGTTATCACATTACTTCTCAAATTCTCAATTTCATTAACATTTTTGTTTGTTTTTTTAAATTAAAATATCTAATGTTATTTGCTTATAATATTAATTATTTATATTATAATTTATTTATTATTATATTTATTATTAATAAATAAACGGTAGTATTATAAAGCCATTATGAAAAGGACTTCAAACAATTTGTTGAATTATTTTACAAAAAAACAAAATATTATACATAATATAGAAGCTTCTGAGGAAATGGTATGGACTATAGTTCGACCTTAAAAGGAGAGTTTGAATTATGGCAAATGAAGTGGGAAACAGAAACAGTAATTCCAACCAACTCTCTTGATACATTATTGAATTGTCCAGCAGATATTTTTCCTAATATATATACAATATTGAAAATTTTTTCAATCCTGCCAGTTACAACAGCTTCAGTTGAAAGAAGTTTTTCAACTCTTAAGCGTATAAAAACCTATTTAAGAAATTCAACTATTGAAAATAGACTTAATGGTCTAGCACTGCTAAATGTACATAGGAATATAGATATAGACATAGAGTCATTAATTGATGTTTTTGCCAACAGAAAAGAAAGACGTATAAACTTTAAATTATAAGTAAGTCTTTAATATAATTTTAAAAAAATAATATTTGTAAATAATTAATTTTTAATCTGAGAAATTTTTTTTTTTTTATTATTAATTTGTTACTGTTACTACTTTATTATAATATATTAAAGAATAATTTGTTATTTTTAATAATATTTACATTTTTTTAACATTATTTGTTAAATAATATTATAAAATAAAGAAATATTTTGTTAAGATCAGGCGCGGATTCAGGGGGGGCTATGGGTGCTCGGGCACCCCCTGTCGCCTTGGCCACCAACAAAATAAATTTATATTATAAATTATGTTATTTCTTATTTTTCAAAATAATAATAATAATAATAAATAATATCGGTTATTCCGTCATCGGAATTTAAATAATTTAATATCAGATATCAAAAATAGATTTTTAGGTCACGGACACGAAACGATTATGTATTTACAATATTTAATACCATTTTTCCTACTTGAAGATACAGATATCGAAAAAATTATTAAATCGGCCAAATTTTATATCGATGATCTAATTGGCTCGATAGAAGAGGTTAGAGGTGAAGTTACTTTGTGGAAACAATTTTGGAAATCCCAATTAGATAAACCTAAAACTGCTATAGAAGCTTTGACTCATGCATCTGAATTTTATCCTAATATAAAGGAATTGCTAAAAATTATTTGCGTTATACCAGTTACCACTTGCACCGCAGAAAGAATATTTTCCTCACTTCGACAAACAAAAACATATTTAAGATCAACAATAGGAGAGGATAGATTAAATGGACTTATGCTTCTTAATATTCACAGGGATATTAAAATTACTCCAGAGGAAGTTATTGAAGAATTCAATGAAAAACACCCAAGAAAATTACAGTTACAATATATGTAAGAAATTATTGTTATTTTTAAGTTTATATTTAATAAATACTGATGTATGAAAAAAAAGTTAGCACCAATAAATCAAATAGAAAATATTAATTTAAATAAATAGAAAGGTGTAACAATCTTTTTTTTTTTGAGCACCCCCTGTCAAAATTTTCTGGATCCGCGCCTGGTTAAGATTATAATCATTTAAATTTGTTTAACTGGTCCATCATAATATCCTTTAGTCTTAACTATCCTATTTGTAATTTGTATTAGGTCAGCTATAACTTGTTTTCTATTATATGTTTAATAAAAGTTAAAAGTTATGATCTTGTATTCTTGTTAGTAAATAGTAAAAATATTTGAATGAAAAATGAAATGTGATTACAACATTTACAACACATATTGATAATATTGATAAAATTATATTAATATAGCTATATTAATTAATACATTATTCTATCAATATATGTTTTAACATAATATTTTAATACTTTGTTATTTTTTAATTTTTAAAAATATTATTAAAGAAATAATAATACTTTGTTAATAACAAATAATATAATAAGAATATAATAATGTGTTAAATATATGGGTACCATAGTTGTTAGCATATAATGGTAGTCATAAAAATAATAGGTCTGTAGTTAACACTTTATAAGCAAAGGGGCCATAAAGTAATAGGTGATGATTAGGTATTCTAGCATTGCAAAAAGTGAGAAAAAAATTAAGTGCCCCCCCCCCAAAACAATTTTCTGGCTACGGCACTGCTTAACGTGATTATTTAATTTTGAAAATGCCAAACGCAAGTGCTCGTTTAATGATAAATTACAAACCAAGAATCCGTTTGTGAAAAAATAAGTGGTCCCTCCGACGTCACGTGTGAAAAATGTCGTACAGATTTTAGTGTTGCACATAGTGGTGGTGCTGGTGATATTGAGAAACATTTACGGTAAAAAAAACACAAACTATCCGATTATGCTTCCGCTTCAAGTTCATCAATGCTCAATTTTCTCAAGAAAACGGATTTACCTTCTAATGATTTTGAAGTTGCTGCTGCAGAAGCCACTTGGGCTTATCACACTGTTCAGGAAAATCATAGCTTTCGCTTGAATGATTGTGCGTCAAGTTTAATACAGACGTGTTTCGACCAAAAATTTAGATGTGCTCGCACAAAGTCCGAGGCTATTGTTGTAAATGTTTTGGCACCTATGGTAATAAACGAGTTAAATGACCACCTTCGTAAAGCGAATTGCATTACTTTACTAACGGACGCTTCAAACCATGGTTCTACAAAATTATTCCCTGTATTAGTATGCTACTCTTTACCGTATGAAGGAGTGTAAGTAAAGATTTTAAAATTTCAAGAGCAATCGGGTGAAACATCGAATATAATTGTGGATTATTTAAAATAAGTAGTATTGACTAAAAATGTACTGACGTCTAAAATTGTGGCGTTTTGTGGAGACAATACTAACTGTAATTTTGGAGGAAAAAATGAAAAGGAGTTAATAACGTTTATGCAAAATTAAACACGTCTCTTGGAAGGACTCTCATAGGAATTGGATGCGGAGCTCACATAATCCATAATGCGATCAAAAGTGCTGCAGATTGTTTACCTGTTGATTTTGAATGCATAATTGTAAAAATATACTCATTTTTTTACATTTATAGCGTTCGTGTTGAAGCTCTTAAAGAATTTTGTAATGCAGCTAACACAGAATATAAATAACTTCTGGGCTATAGTAAAACTAGATGGCTTGCGTTGATGCCTGAAAGAGTTTTGAAAATGTTTCTGCCGTTAAAAAAATATTTTCTGAGCATTGATAAATGCCCGAATATATTGAAAGAATTTTTTGAAAATCCCAGCTCTAAATTATGGTTGTATTTTATGCACGCACAATCAGCTACTTTTCGTCAAGCAGTGTTAAAGATCGAAGGCCAAAACGTGTCTGCAATAAATGCTGCAAATAAAATCAATCAACTCCTAAATAATTTAAATCTATAACAAAATGCATGCTATCTTCCCCACGCCACCCGTAATATAATGGTAAAATTACTAAAAACTGGTGCTATCAATGAAGAAAACGTAAAAGCTACAGCGGCTGTTTTTTACAAAACAAGCAAAGAATATTTGGAGCAGTGGTGTCAGTTCAACGAGGAAGTAAAAATATTTGAATGGGCAAATTTGAGGGAGGTTCCCTCGTGGGAGGAAGTGCAAAAAGTGATGGACTTACTTATTAAACAGAAATTTATTAGTAGCAGTCAAGACACAGGAGTTTTTGACGAGTTTTTACTAATTTCTAAGTATATAACAGCTCAAAAGTATGTGACTGAAACACCGGTAATATAGTTACTGAAAATCGTTAGGTGGAAGTATTTACGTACTTCAATGCAAATGATCTCGCACACGTGAATTTTTCTATAATTGTAGAATACATTTTGTGTCTGCCAGGCAGTAACGCTCCAGTTGAAAGAGTGTTTTCTCATATGAATAAAATATGGAGCAGTGAAAAAACTCAATTGGGAGTCTCTGTATTGAAAGCCATATTTATAACAAAGGGTAACATTATTAAAATTATGTCAAGAGTTCCATTCATACATAAAAACCAAACCGGCTACTTTAAAGAAGATATCTGGATCCGATAAATATAGAAAACCAGCCGAATAATGTACTCTATTATTATATTATTATTATTTATTATTTATTATTGTTATTATTAGGATTAATATTATATTAGCTGCGTTTTTCTGTTGGAATTTTTTTATAAATAATTAATGTTTTTTTTTTCCAATAAAAAAATTGTTATTTTACGCAAAATGTTATGGTTTTCTTATTAAAATGTACCGGTATCCCGCTTTGAAGAAAAAAAATATGGTCACGTTAAGTATAGGTACCAAAAAAGTTTATAAGGTTCGCGTAATAACAATTATTGTAAACTGGGGAGGAACCAGTTTCCCAACTTTTAATAAACCGTGAACGTGTATTTAAAAGAGAATATTATCTGATTTCTGAATACAAAATAGTAAATAAAAATTTACTATTTACCGATTTTAGCATTTGATCATCGAACAAAGAATTGCCGACATTTTAAAATTTCTTAGAGTGGGGCATTTGCCATAGTCTGCCTCCCCAAATAACGACCCTGCCTACATACCGGGTTCAACCCCCCCCCCAAGGGCCAAAAAAAAAAATTGTTTTATTATTGATGACGTGTAATATATTTGTAGTTTCATTATTACGCTTTGAACTTAAAATATACAACTATACAAATATTATGAAAATTAAATAATTGATAGGTTTTTGAAAAGTTTTGTTAACTATGCTGTTTTTACATTCCAATATATATTAATTTACTGTAATGTAAAAGAAAACTATAAATTGGTAAAAAAGTTGTATAAAATAACATCTATTTATAGCAGTTATTTATCATATTTATCTGTGCAACGAAAAAAAAAAAAGATAACGATTATTTTTGTTAACCCCTCCCCTCAGAAAAAGATTGAATGTACGCCACTGCATAACATCCACATTCTAAATTAATTATAGATTTAATTCATAAGGTAATTTTGTTCATTGATTTTAAAAGAAACAATTATTGAATATTAGAATATAAATAAAATCAAAGCATTCAATAATAAATATTATCATATTATTTGCATAGAAAATAAACTTATCATCTTAATCACTACCTATTATAAAATATCAAAATATAAATATTATTAATAATTACTTTTATTAATTAAATGTGTAATAACTAATAGGTAAGTAATAATTATCATTTATAAAGGAAGTTTATAAAAATTAATGTTCTGAACAATTTATAATATTTTACATACATAATACATTGTTAAAGTAAAATATTGTTAATTATAATTCTTTAATTTTTTTAGCTTTTTCGGATGCAAAATTATTTATTATGTCTTCATAATTTAATTGTTCTGAAAGTTATTTATCTATACAAATTGTAGCAAGTTCAGTAAGTCTTTGTTGTGACATGATACTTCGTAAATATGTTTTAATACATTTTCATTCTGAGAATGTTCTCTCTACTCTAGATGACGTTAGCAGAATTGTTAACATAATTCGTAAAGCATTAATCAAGTTGGGAAATTCGTTCGTTTTTTTGATTCAGATAGTACTTGAAGTATACTGATGAAGTAGTATTTTAATCAATTAAATGATGAAAAATTAATATTTCTTCATATAAATCATAACCATTTAAATCTTTTTTGTAATTTTCTGACAAACGTATTTCCAAATCTTGGCAGCAATTTAAAATTTCTAAATCAAGGACACAATAAAGTTTTCTAACATCATACAAAAATCCAAAAACTTCATTAAATGTATTTATTTGATTAAATCGCTTTTCTATTACACTTATTGCACCATCTAGGTACTATAACCAAAAATTAAATGCAATTTTCAAGAATATTCTTTACTCTATGAATTTTGAGTAATATGTTGTTAGTGTGCGTTATGTAATACTTATAAGTCTATAGACTCACGATAAATAATGAACTTTTTTTTTTTTATTATTATTATTGTAATTATTTTATATATATTATAATAATTATTATATTTTTTATTTTTATTTAGGTAGGACCAATGCTTGAATTGGGAAAAATTAAGTAGAGGAGCTCAGTTCAACGATTTGAAAACTGCGTTCCACGTGCGCAATTATTTAACACAGACCCGTGGGAGGCTTCGCCCCTTCCCCCCTCCACCAACCTTATATATATTTTAAATACCACTTTTTAGCTAAACAAATATTAAATTCCAAATATAATATATTTTGATAGCAATACCAACATCTTATATGTTACAATAGAAAATAATAATTAACATAGGTAATTGTAGGCGATCAGGTAGTCTCATGAATCGAATGAATCATTCGAAATGATATAATCATATATTTGGTTTTTATCTATTTTTCCTCTTTAGTGCGGGCCACGGCCATAGAAGATTAGTCTAAGGTCGTGGCGAAGGCATTTATTTTTTCCGAAATGATGATATCGTCGATCGCCAATATTAATAACAAACCGTACAATGTATAAAGTATAATACACCAAATTCACAGACATTACTATTTATATTTTTCCAGAAATGACGACGTTGTCCCTTATCATAACCACCATATAATCTTTAATAATAAAAATAGTTTTGATATTATAAATCGTAAAATTCATTTTCCAATTGGCGTAAATTAAAATTCACATAAAAATTATTTAGGACATCAATTAGAATGAACGAGGTGTCCCCCCGTTTCAGTTAAAAAATATAGTTGGGGTACGCAAAAAAAAAAAAAATAGTAGAGGAGCTCCGTCCCCCTGCGCATCCCCCCCCAATTCGAGCACTGGGTAGGACCACTATTAATAATGGGGCAATAGGCACATACCACGCTTACCCTGACACTTGTTACGGCACTGATTAATATGTTACATGTATCCGTACCTATAAAATAATATTATGTTTACCTATTTACATGGGTAAATACAAATTACAAATTACAAATTTTTTGTGTACCACCTTATGTGAACCTCACGACCCGCTACTGAATAGTACTATTTATGACTAACGAAACTGTAAAATAAATAGGTTATAGTGTATTTGATTCGTGTTTTCATCCATTTTTAGTGAAATTTTGATATTTTCCCTTTTAAATTAATTTTGTAGATATCATCGATTGTTGATTATGGTAATAATAAGAAAATTATAATACAACGTCTCGTTTATCATAAAATTATTATTATTAGTATTGTGTACAGATGAGTCACAGTGTATATTAATCGATTAAATGTGACTAACTCAATGTGTTAAAGTTTTTCTTTCATTTATGTATTATTTTATTTATTTGAAGAAGTTGATTAAAATAAGTGATGACAGAAAATGTTTAACATTTTCGCAATTACCTTTTAAGTAAACAACAACTTCCACGTACAGTATTCGAAATCAGTGTATTGTTAAAGGAAAAAAAAATATGATCTATTTTCTTTTATAGATATAATCTCAAAAATGTTTTTATGTCTTTCAGCTTCGAACTGTTCAGCTGAGAAGTAATTTTCAACATTAAAAAGGATTAAAAATTATTTGCGATTGCAGTTCACTAAAGATCACTTGAAGTTTGGCTATTCTCAACATTGAGAACGAAATTTGTAGAGATATTAATCGAGGATATTATTAATTCACTCATAAAAAATCCAGTTATAAATATTTTTAAGTTCTTGACTTTATTGTTCCATATCTATTTTTAAATTTTGTCATGAATATATTTATGTAAATGGTTATCTAAATTTATTTTAATTTTTCGAAAAAAATAGATTGGTTACTATTAATATTATTTACTTTACTAATTAACGTCGGTGAACCAAAAAAAAATCATAGTCAAATTATTTAGTTATCTAAGTCTAGAAAAATATTCATCAATCGGTAATAATTAGGAAATTTTTTTAAAAAAAGCCTGTACGAGTTGTAATAACCAATAGGGTCATACTACTATTTAAATTTATATTTTTATTTGCTTGTATTTTTCTTGAAGTTGAGATAAAATACACCTGCCATCTGAATTTCAGGTCATGATATCTATGAAATTTTATAGTATTATAATGGTCCATGATATACAACCTTTATTAGCAAAAATCTATTATTTCAAAAATATTGACTCTTAATATTGCCCATGAGTTTCTTACTAATTTTTCTCTTATTTCACACAAATAAAAGTCATTTTTATATGCCATAGTGAAATATTAAGACATTCATTTATTTAATCATTTTAATAATGAGATAATTATTATTAATATAAAAAAAATATTTATATATAAAAATAGTAAATAATTCATTTAAAGTAGAAACTAAAAATATTTAGAAATATAGATTCCACTGACAAGCCCCCATTAAATATCTTAAAAAATATTTTTCTCATATTGATTTCTATGCAATATTAATTGAAAGCAATTTGCATACATTGTTTTAGTTTCACTATAAAATTTAATTAATTTTATAATAATTAATATAAAATAAATTACTATAAATAAATCATCTATATGTAAATAATTTTAAGTTATCTACAACTTACATTTTTTCTTTGGCCATTGCAAATGAGATAGTAAGTGCAACATAAAATGATTGCTATAATTCAAATAGGAATCAGTAAATTTAATTTTTAAAACAGTCTTTGAAATATTAAGAGTGTGATGTTATGGCATCATGAGGTTTTCCCATTTGTGTTAATACTTTATCAAGCCATTGAAGAGGTCCATGTAAATGTATTTCAATCCAACATGGTGTACTTGTGACATCTTGTCGGTGATAATCAGCCCCCCAGCCTTTAACAAAAGACATTCGTATGGTACACATTTTAGTTAATTCAAAAACAGCCTCGAATCCATGATTGACAGATTGTGATAAGAGACCAGCAAATTCTTGATTGTTAAATATACGTAATGAACAACCAGGCGGTATTTTACATACTGTAGATGGATGAAAACCATGGTGTTGGTTACAGTTTCGTGATTGAACAAATATAGCAGAATCAGACAGACATTCTGCAAAAACTTCTCCGCCCACATAATATAGTTGAACCCCTAAAGAAAATATACTGAAATAAACTGTATTTTACTTAAATTTAATACATACCTTTGCCAATATGTCGTCGGGTATTTTCAATTGTTGAATTACGGTTAACATTAGATAATTGACCAAGACAAAATCTATTCAAATCATTTCTAGGATTTGTAAAACCATCAACAATCACATGAGGAGAATGGCACTGATAAACTTCACCTACTCTAGAATTGAGTTCATAATATGCTATACTAGCCCAACAAGGTTGCTCCTGGAAAAGAAAAAGTATTATTACAATCTATTAAATGGTTGTTCATAATATATTTAATGTGTTTTATGTTTAACATATATCATAAAACAAATTTTCTTATAGTTAAAAACATTAATTTTGAATCAATTTAAACATATGACTAACAAAATATAGTATAAGAAAACCATCGATGCTCACTAAAATATTAATTTTTAAAATATTTAAACTATACAACTATTATTTTATTAAAACCAGTATATTTTGAAAAAAAATTGGATTTTCACAAAAGTATTTTACATAATACAACAAAGAATATAATATTATAATGTTATAATGCCTAACATTCTTTCAACATTCTTCAAATAAAATAAAATCTATATTAACATACATATTAGGTAAATTCAGTGGCACAATTAGGGGAGGATGATCCTACCTTCCAATGGAATATGTAGTTAATGTTACCCCATTTTCCTCATCAAACACCTACTAAAATTCAATTTTTTTTTTCAAATGTCTTCTTTTTCTCCTTTGCCTTTCTCCCAATTATTTGGAGTCGGCCATCCTTATCCTAAACCTCCACTAGTCTCAATTTTCTACATTTCCTAAAATACATAAAATACACCGCCTTTAAAACTGCCTAAGTTTTGTTTCTGATTCCTAATACTCTTTGACAACATTTTAACACCAGCTGTCAATCTGATGTAAACTCATTTAGTCGCCTTATACGACCAACTAAGGAATCATTCAAGTATTCAATTTGAATCCTTTCTACAGGAGGAAATTTTTTTTAAATTTACTATAAAAATGTATATAATAAAACTAAATTCTTGTTACACAACTGTGTACCTTAATAGAGTTCTTAATAACATATAGTTAAGAGCATGAGAGTTGGTATGGCAAGAGGGTGACATGTCTCCCTCTAGCTTTGTGTCTATTATACATTTATACATACAATATTATAATAATTCATTTATATTAAATATATAATACATTTATCTTATTAGCTATTCTTTTCTTTCATGGACAACATTTTACTACAGGAGAACTGTAACTCTCGATAGCAATCATCAAGGAGCACTTTACATGTGTCTCCTCTCTGGATTTTTGATGATGGATGTCCTTGGTTAAGAATATTTTCATTTTGCTTTTGATTAAAAATTCAGAAGATATCTTTAAATATGTTAAAATTAAACTTCAATCATGAAACTAATATGTTTTAAGGAAATAAATTTATGTTTTATCGACAAATAATGAAATGTAGATGCATATAATTTAATAAAATCATTATTTAAATAAACTTAAAGGACCCACAAACTGCATACTTAATATCTCTAACATTAAAGTGATTTATCAGCCACAATGGGTATTTTCGATATTATGGTGAAGAAAGTAAAACATTTTTTTTTTTCTATAAATAGCTGTAGAGTATCAGTAATTTAAAAAATGTATTATAAAGCTAATTAGAAATATAATTAAAGGTATACTGTTAAAAAATGTAAATTTAAAAATACCATTCTACTTAAAAACATGAAGTATATAAATCATAATTGCTCAATATTAAATAGAAACATTTTAAATTACATAATATTATACACCAAATAATTTTTTTTTAAAATATTAATTATTTAAAAAGCTATTTTTGATCAAATTCATAATAGAATATTACTATATATTAAATATTATATTATGAGTAATTTAAAAGGTAATTATCAATATTTTAATATATATTACCTGATACACTATTGGGATACCATCAAGATCTTCCAGGTTGGTATTTTTTTCAATATTACTAAGTTTGTTGGGATCATCTGGTGATGAAAATGAAGTATTTTCTGTAATATATTTATAAAACTATATGATTATTTGTAGAATAATAAATAGCACCGTTTATATTTATTTAGATTTTAATTTCTAAATTATTGCTATAAGACAAATATTATATAAGAAAATGATATACCTATTAGAGATGTATCCGGAAAATCATTAATATTATTTGTTGATGGAATTTGATTAGGAACATTAGATGTAGTTTGATTTGTTGATAATACAGTTTCAGGAAACCCATCAGTATTCATTGATACATTTATTGGCATGCCAACATCCACTGGTGGCTGATATTGCTGCAATGTCTGCTGAGGTGCATATTCACTTTGACGAGGAACTAATACTGGTGGTAAAACTGTAGAACAAATATATATATATATGTATTCAATATTTTTATAAAATTAACTGATATTTTACCTGGACTTTCAACTCTTTGGTAGTGATATGGGTTTATACAAACATCTTTCTGTTTAGCAGAAAATGGAAACTGACAGTGGTCAACTGCTTTGAGTTCATGATGCGACTGTAAATCTGGCCATCGCCATACTCGACAGTATATTACATGGGGAAGACCTTTTCTGTGGGACACCTAAGTTCAGTATTCACTTTATATTTTTTTAAAATATATTGTAGGTATTTAAATAAGACAATATTACTTGTAATCGACCATCAAGACTTCTGGGAATAGTAACACATTTACTTGGTTGACCTGGTGAACTTAAAGCTTTTTGTAAATCTTCAGTTGCACCTTTGGTTTTCTTTAGTTTTTTCATTAAGGCATCAACTGCTTTTTCAGCCCACTTTTCTTCTTCATCACCTTGTTTCCATCCTAATAGCTTTTTTACTGATGGACTTGTAAATGAAAACAAACTATTTAATGCACTACCCGTTGAGTCCATTTCTTCAACCATTATTGTCACCTATACTTAAAATAAAATATACGACATGATATTATAACATAAAAAAAATGTATAAATAATATAACCCAATTTATAAAACTTACTATTAATAATAACTAATATATAATTTATATTTTTAATATTTAAAATAATAATAATGGTTAGTTTAAAATTTTATACAATGCGACAACATAGAGATTTTTGTATAAATATGGATGGATTTTAAAATGAAATAAAATTAATTGCTGGATAATTTCATAACAACACAATTTAAGATTGAAACATTAATAAATGCCATCATTTCTGAATTCAACATATATTGCGCGTGCGCATTTTTTAAATATTATAAAATCGATATTATATTATGGTATAAAATCGATAATGTATTGATTTTTATGACGCGCATGCGCTGTCAAAAAAAAAGATAAGAACCAAAAATGTATAATTTTAAACATTAATTGAAATATATTTAAAGTGTGTTGGTTCAAATATTGGTTTCTGTAATTAAATAACTCATTTTAAATTATTCTATGCGTAATTCAAAATAGTTATATATTAAATATTGTCAGCTTTTATCTAATTTATCATTTTTTTTATATAATAATGTATTAAATTTTCTAACATGGAAATAATATATTATGTAAGATATATAAGAATAAACAAAGTATCAAACGTTTTGAATTACCTATGATTATATTTATGGTTTTATTTATGCCAGAATTCATAAATATGGATATTCAGTCAGTTGATTCTAGTCGTAATCGATCAACTAATCTGTCCGAAATTACATATCAACATTTTCTTGATATGGAAACTTTAAATAATCGATTAATACTGTTGGATTATGAAACTTATGTAGTGAAAACATTAAAAATGAGACCAATTAATCGGTAACTGATTGCACAATTTTCAATAAATCAATCACTAATAAAAAAAAATTATGTTTTAGACATTATTTTGCTTTGCAAACTAGTTCCGGAGAACAATTTTTTATGTTTGTATCTCTAGCCATATGGCTACTAAGTAAACTCGGTAAAAATTTAAAGCAACCACAAGAATATGATGATCCAAATTTAACTGTAAATAGTATACTAGAATCGTCTGCTCAACTAGTATGTTTGTCATAAATATTTTAACTAAAAAAATTAATTATTATTTGTATATTTTTTTATTTATAGGATTTATTTGTTGATTATCCAATTAACCAGTTAAAACAAGGGTTTGGAAAACATGTGATTGATATTTTAAATGGTCTTGCTGAATTATCTTTGAAAAAAATTAATTTTCCTTACAAAAAGTAAAATACTTAAAATAAAGTTTAATTTAAAATACAAATTTTTTTCAATATTTAATCTTAAATTTTAAAGGCCTTTTTTTCCTGTCGAAAAGGAAGAAGTAGAAGAATTACCTGAAAATAATGCAGAACTTTTGTTGGAACATGTTGAAGAGGAAATGGTTTGGACAGATTCTGATTCTGATGAAGAAAATATGCTTAATATTAATGATTTATCTGTTTTGAATAAGGTATTTAAGTATAATAAATATTTTACCGTAATATAAAAAGTGAATAAAAATTGATTTTAGGTTAAGAGACAAACATCTCATAAGACAAACAAAAACTTAATCCCTTCTACCAATAAAGAAGAATGGAATTTAGAGTTAGAACAAGTATTACCTTTACTACGGGTAACAATTAAACTAGGTAAATTATTTTGGTGTTAATTAATAATTAAAACTAATATTTAATAGCTTGTAGTTAAACAATTTTAAATGTTAAACATTAAAGTAATGTTAATTTTATTAAACATTTTTTGGATAAAAAATTATAATAAATAATTGTTCTTTTTAAATATGTTTTATTTTCAAGTAAATATATTCTGATTATTAACTGTTTAATGTAAAATATTTTTTTACTTATAAAATTACCATTGAAAGTTATTTTCAGCAGATTGTTATTACTTATACTTATGAAAGAAAAAAAAATTAAAAATGTATAATAATTGTAGTACTAATGAATTTTTTATTTTTTATTCATAATTTTGTATTCAGAACAATATATTAAAACTAAAAAAAATGTTTTTAAACCTTAATAATTTAACATTTTAAAACCTAAGTGAATGGATGAATTTTTTGATTTATATTTTTATAATAGCAATTTTTATTATTTTTATTATTGGATTAATTGTAAATCTATTATAAAAAAAACTCGGCATCATAGAGCAACAATTGTAAATTGATTAATGTTAATTGTTTATATTTAAGAAGAAACCATTATTTCACTTCATTAAATATATTATATACTTTTAATGATACAAAGGTTTTTAGATTTTTGTTTTTAGTTTAGCAGCATTGATACATTTAATGACATTGTTGGTGACTTGGGTTAACTATTTAGTATTGTTGCTATCGATTTTGAAAATGTAGCTTTTTATGGTATTGAGATATATTTGGCAATCCATAAATGTATATTTAATGATGACTTGAAGTCTGAAGTCAGTACAAATAGGAGGTTTCTACTTTATAATTTAGCTATGGCCGAAATTTAATAATATGCTCAATTTTAAATATTGTTAGTATTAAAGTTAACTACTATTTTTTTGATATTTATTATGATACTTTAAATAAGAACATAATGGTTTATTTTTATAATTATTAAAAATTATTTTTAGATTGATAATTTTTTCTTTTTAATCTCGTTATTATAACCTGTATTAATAAAATAATTACACTAATTTGTACCTAATTTTTTATTTTAAAAATTTAAATTCTAATGAACTAAAATATTATTAAAAAAGGATTAATATTTTATTTTAAAGTTTTAAAATTATTTTACTTGTTATGGTATAAGTATGTTACACTAATTATATAATGAGTTTTGTTTTGTTCATTTTTCTAACTAAAATTTAACAATTTAAATATATGATTTTAGATTATAAAGATTGGCGAACAAGTCTGCAACAAATGAAAGAACATAAACTTATGATGAATTTATCAATAGAAAAAGTTAAACCACTTTTGATTAATCTTAACAGTATATTAAGAGAAACTATGGAAAAAGTATATAGTAGAGAACAATACTTAAATAGTTCCTTAGATAATCTTTTAGTGGAATATCGTACTTTTCAGGTACATAAATATAAAGGTTATAAAAATATAAAACTCAAATCACTAATAGAAATTGATGTATTTTCTATTTAGGATGAATTAGCTAGAATTAATGATCATTACAAATCTCTTAGTAATGGTATTGTAGAAAGACAGAATATATTATTAAAAATCACTGAACAATTAGATATTATTAAACTAGAAATGGATGAAAGAGGGTCAAGTATGACTGATGGAAGTAAGTAATAGTATTGATTAAATATACTATAATTTATCATTGGTAATAGTTTGATAATTATGTTTAATATTTATTAACCTTTTAAATATTTAATTATAGCACCATTAATCAATATAAAAAAAGCAATAGGAACTATAAAAAGAGATATTATGGAAATGGATGTTCGCATTGGTGTATTACAACATGGATATTTCATATCTAAAGTACATGAAAAATCTATAATTCAAGATACAATAATGAGACCCTTGTTTCCTAGAACTGTTTTGTAATAATTTTTACTTAATTCCCTTTTAACTTAATTAGTAAAAAATGTATTTTTCTTACGTCTTAATACTTTTTTTAGTAATTTTATTAATACCTACATTAATAGCAATTAATGTATTGCTACATTTCAGTAAATGTATATAGATATTTATTATTAGACCAAAAACTTTTGTTACATATGTCAAAATGTATTTGTATTAATTTGAACTCAATGATCATTAATCAATATTATTGCACTTGATAAACAATTTTGATTGAAGTTTGGTGTAATATAAATTGCAATTAGAAAATATTGAATTCAAAATCTTATTTAATTATAACTCAAATATGTCACAAATATTTTGCTTGTATTAAAATCAAAAGTCTTACAGTATAAAATGCATATGAAAATTAAATAAAAATGTTTCCTGGCCAGAAAATGATGTATTTTCTAAATTTTTTTTTTTAAGTATTTTTACTTATGATATGACATCTAAATGTTAAACATTTTATATTTTATAAAATATGTAAGCTTATTAATTTTGATATTTTTAAATATATTGCAACAATCAACTTAATGAAACTATGTATTGAATAACCATTTCTTCTTTCTTTCTTGGGTTTATCGGCTAATATTCCGTTGAATAAATTATCCAACGACTGTTTTCGTAATTTTTTGAAAAAATATACAAGCAAGAGTATTCTCGTCGATTAGACATTAAGAAAACCGTATGTTGCCCAATGTTCTGAAGAAATAATAAACAACATAAAAAAGTATTGTGAAAATCAAAAACTGTGGATTTCTATCGAAGTAACCACAGATTTGGAAGGCCGGTACATCGCGAATGTAATAATCAGTACCTACGTTAGAAATTGAATGCCCAGGAAAAATATTTTTACTTCACACAGAAGCACAGGAAAAAGCTAATCATACCAGCTTTGCTAAATTATTGATAAAGCACTTCATCTTTTGTGGCTTCGAGGGATTAAATACGACAATATTTTGCTGTTTTTGAGCGATGCGATGCCATATATGGTGAAGGCTAGCAAAAGCATAGAAATAATGTACTCAAAAATGGAACATGTCACCTTTTTAGCTCACGGACTACACAGGGTTGCAGAAGAGGTTCGTAAATATTTTCCAAAAGTTGATCTAATAATATTTAACGTAAAAGATTTTTTTTTTTAAGTGTCTCGTATTCAATTTTTTTGAGAAAAGGCACCAAATATCTGTTTACCGCCACAGCCTGTATTAACTAGATTGGGACGTGGCTAAGTGCCACAAATTATTATTGTGAACACTTCGAAACTTTAAAAGAAATAATATTTGGTTTAAATAGAGAAAGAAGACGCTACATCGATTGAGAAAGCTCAAAATCTCATGGACGATTGCTATTAGAAAAGTGACATGAAATACATTTACTCTAATTTTGGAACTTTGAGTGATTCTATTCCTCAATTGGAAACATTTGGGTTTAGTCTTTACCCTTCGATAAAAATTGTACAAGATGTAGAAAATAAAATTCAACAAGCAGAAAATAGAGAAGGACAAGATATATATAAAAAAAAAAAAATTAAAATCCATTATGAATAATAATACGGACTTTAAAACAGTGTCAACAATTTCAAAAATGTTGAATGGTGAAAAAGTGTCGAACCAAAACTTTCCAGACGACCTCCGATTTTGCTCATTTTCAATTTGCACTAATTACATCAGTAGATGTAGAAAGAAGTTTCTCGAAGTACAAGAATTTACTTTCAGATAACCGCAGGTCATTTACTTTAGAAAATATCAAACATGCACTTATTATTGTTCAATGTAATGAATTTGATTAGGTTTAATTTTTATAATTTGTTTTAAATATTTTTTTAGGATATTTACGGTTTATATTTAGATAAAAATTTTTAATGAGATGTATCGAAAATATCGAACGTAATCTGTGCTCGACTTGTGGGAGAATGCAGGGATCCAGGGGACGCAGGGGGACGGAGTACCCCAACTAATTTTCAAAGATTTTAGCGTCCCCCTACTATTATTACGCTATAATCACAACGCTCTGCCAGTTTTGGGGACGTTCTTTTTTTTTATAGTAAAAAGAATCCCCCTTCTTTAATTTTGCCAAGTCGAGCACCGAAAGTAATATATAAAGTATCGAAGATCGATACATTCGTGTCGTATCCGATAACGTATTCTCATGGTAAGTACGTGCATAGGCGTTCTCACGGGGGTGGCCGGGTGGGCCGCGGCCCCTCTGCGGACTCTGGATTTTTTTTAATAAATGTATATCTATACTATACAAGATAGCAAACATTTTTACATTTTACATGAATAAAGTAAAGCCAGTTTTAATCTTATAGTATAGAATTGATATCTGTGAATAAATGTAATAAAGTTATTAGTTATTAATCAGACTAATCAGAACTTGTATATAATATAATAATTGAAGAAGTAATTGACACATTCAAAAACTTTACTCCCGTGGACAGAAAGATTGAGTTGTAAATAGTATAATAATATGTAAATAAGGATTTCTTAGATATAAATTGTGTAAGTTTAAATAGTATTTATTTTTATATTTACATATTGAATTAAATAAATATTTTATAAAATTTAAAATATTTAATTATACTAGTAGTTTTTAGTACAAGAATCTTTGGTTTACTTTTTTAAGGGGCACTCCCTGCGGAAAAAGTCTGCGCACGCCTATAGGTACGTGAGCATTATAACAATTTTTTTTTTTATATAATAATAAATATCTTTGACCTCTAGAAAATAAGAAGAATGTTTTTGTTTAGTATTTTTACTTGTATGAAATTGAATAAAAAAATATAATATAAAGTAGGTATATATTATATTGTGCACTGATATACAATATTATAAGGAAAAATCTTATATTGTGTTTGATACTATTTTTGATGACTTAATTATAAAAATCCCATTTTTAATTTATTTATTAACGTTAGATCACTATAACCTATAATACGAAAGGTATATTTGTTTTAAACAATTTTATGCGATTCATAAATAAATTACTAAACGATGAATTATATATTATTGTACGGAATGATTTTTATAATTAAAAGGGTGTGTAATGTAAATAAGTACCATCACTTAGTTTTTTTTTAAATAAATACGTGCAATATACCATATTACTGGTTTGCACATGTTTGACACAACTTGTCCATGCACGATTATCATTTATTCACATAAGTGTTAAAATTCAGGTAGGCTTAGGTAAAAAAGACGCTTTGACGAAGACATGAAATGATGGCGTGCTTATAAAATATTGATTTTGTTTAGTAAGTTCGTTTTAACTTGGTCTATTATGATAGCGTGACCTTGGACGGACGACGATTTCGATGTACAATAAGCGTAAAGCGACAACCTTAGCAATGTCAACAGCTGATCGTACTGATGTATTGCGCGTTCGGCCCCTATGCTCATCCAATGTGGAACGAAAACGTCCGCCGTCGAACACACAACCAACCGCACTACAGGTATCTCGCTCTATCCCTCCTACCCGCGCACGCGCGTGACCGTTTTTGATCAAGCACATCACGTACATCTAAAACCGTCATACTCCTACAGTTCAGCCCTGGAGTAGGGTAAACGGTTCGGTGGACGTTCAAAACAAAATAACAAAGCCAGTGTCTTGGTGCTGTTTAGTGTGTAACTGGTGTCGGGCAAACCGTAATTATAAACAGCCGATCACTTATAGTTTACTATAACTGCTCTACACGTCCTCTACGTGCGACCCAGATAACCGACGGCTGTACTAATCTACAACCATGTCTACATACGCGTCCGGCAAACTCATCATAGTCTCGAACCGCCTCCCGTTCGTTCTTAAAAAAAACGAACATACTCAAAAATGGGAAAGAAAAGCCAGGTAAATGGATTTATAGATACTATATAGGAAAAAGATTTTAAATTATAACAAATATTATTTTATCTCTGTTGGATATGTAATGATAAGAACCTCGTGTGTGTGTGGGTGTGTGTGTATATGTGTATTATCAACAATTTGTTTACCACCAACTTCACTGTCTACGATGTTGTGTGGCAGTGTTGTGTTCGCTTGAGTCAGTCCGTTAGTATTCTTAAAAACGTATTGCTCTCCTTGTTGTGTATCACTATTCGTGAGTTATAAGAATACGTACATAAATCGATGATGATCAAGAGAATTGCAACTATTGCTCTGTTTGTGTTCCGACCCCAGATGATTTATCAATCCGCGGCCAATATTTGCTTCTGCCGAAGTTTGGCGTTTAAGAAAAATAAAATAGAAATCAGCCATGATGACAAACTAACTAAAAAGATTAGACCCAAAACCGTGCCTGTGCCTAAAATTACTCTTTTGGGTCCTGAGAAAGATATATCTGTTGTCACTATGGATGTTGCTACTAAGATGTGTGAAAGACGAGGCCTAAAATTAGTAAAAATTATCGATATTGATACTAAAACCCATCGCCCGGTGTACCAAATGATGACTGCTAATCAGTTTCTAAAAGAAGATAGTAAAAACCATCAAAATAAAGATGAAAAAATTCCTAAGAAATCGAAAAGTGTGAAAACTTCATTAATAAATTGTCGTATTGGTCAAGCCGATTTAGAATCAAAAGTTAATAACTTCTGTAAATGGTTAAACAAAATGCATGAAGTGAGAGTGACAATCACTGGTGATACAGCTAATGAGATAGCTGATGAAATTATTAAAAAAACTCAAGAGTGTTCAAGAGTTGTTCAGAGAAGAGAAAAAGGTGACTCGGTTAAATTTCAATTGTTACCATTGAAAGTTATCTAATTCTTATCTTATAGTTATTCCTATAAATAAATATTATCTTTTTATTTGAGATTAGTAATTACCTTGGATTTTAAATTTATGAAGTACTTGAAATTATTGTATGATGTTAATAAAACTGTTGTATTAAGTTTTAAAGATTTGATCAAATAAAAACTGTTTTACATAATTTTATTTTTGTATTCTTGTTCTTTAATTTTATTATATTTAAGGTGTATAACCTTAACAAAATTGAGTGTTTTTGGCTCTATGTATTGGATGGTTTTCAAATATGTAAAAAAAAAAAAACAAAGAGAAATGGCACTTGCCAAGTAAAGATAAACAAAATTATTTGGTACTATTGATATATATTTAATTATATTATAGAAATTATCACTAATTATGAGACTATTGTTAATCATATTTTATTATATAATAAATCAAATAATAATACATTTTTTTTTTTTATGTTAAATCTATAAAAAAAATAAAAATCCAAATAAGTATATATTATTATAATTATTTTTAAATACCTATTTGAACTTATTTATAGAATTATAGCCAAAATAATATTAAGGTGTTCATTATTTCTAAGTAAGTTTGTTGACAATTTAAAACTATTGTTTTTATCACTTAATTATTAATATTGTAAAGTATGTCCATGAAAATCTTAAAATCTGTTAAATAATTAATTTATTCCTTTCGTTATAAACCACTTATGTGGAAATTATTTTATTAATTTATTAATGTCAAAATATTTTTAAGTAAATAACACTTTTGTCATTTTAGTATAAATAATTACTTAATTGGGTAATTAACAATGAAATTAGTGTATTAAAAATTAAATATACATTTATATCATTGTTAATTAAACAACTCGATTATAAATTTATATTTTATATAATTTTATGCATTAGACTAGAATGGACATTGTTTTATGTTATTTCCACAAAACTTGTGAGGATAAATAAATAGATCTATTCAAATCTCATTTAATAGTGTTATTAATTTAATTGTATGTATCTTATGGACAAATTATGGCTTAAAAGATGGAAGATATGTTATCAGCAATTTTTAATATTTGAATATATCAAATTATAATGGTTAAGTCAATAATGATTTAATTTTTTTAAAACATTATAAAACAGTTTTAACCATGTATTATGTATTAGGTTGATACAAAGATTTTATGAGTTTGAGAATTCTTTTGAAGTAGAATTTGAACAATACAAAGCTTCGTGAGTTTTCATATAATCACCAAAAAATAATTGAATTTGCATTTTTGGCATTTCATGTTTCCTGAGATTTAACACATGGTGTTTTAATGTAAGTTATAAACAAATAATTTTTAAATTGAAATTGTTATTTTCGGCCTGTGGAACAATGACAACAGTTTATTTTCCATTTAAATGTCTCCATTTTATTATAAATATACCTTATCAATATTTATTTATACATAGCAAATTGCATGTTTATAACAAATGAAAAAAAGAATGTTTACCTTTTTTCTTAAAATATTTTGTTTATATTAATGTTTGTTATATTTCAATTTTTTATATTATAAATATTAATCACTTTATAATATTTTTATAATTTAATGATACAACAATATAGACCAGCGATTCTCAAACTTTTTTTTTCGCGTACCACTTGAATATATTATCAGTAATGTACCACTAATAATAGAACCATATAAACTTTACATAATAAAATACATTTATTTTAAACATAAAGGCATTAAAATACTACAATAAAATTACTATTTATTTATTAATAAAAATGTATTTGTGTTTTTAAATTAATATGAGAGTTAAATATCAAATTTTTAATTTCCGTTCTATCACGGCCTTTCGCGTACCACCTTATAGTCTTTCGCGTACCACAGTTTGAGAACCGTTGATATAGACCATTGAGAATTTAGTTTAATTTATAATTTGTTATTACTATATTGGTAATAATTATTAATAATAAAATAAATGATAAAAATGTAGGTATTCCCTCAACAAATTAAAGATATTTTCTTTATCCGACAAAAGTTTTTCAATGATGTTTTATGATTTAATCTTAAAACTATATATTATAGAAATTAGAAAGTAAATTAATGATTATTCTTAAAAATTATATATTCAACTATAAAACAATATAAATGGGCACTAGTTGCATATTATTTTAACTATAAATTATAACAGTTATAATAATTTTATCTATAAGAATACATTGTATTATAATAATAAAATACAATAATAATACAATTGTTTGATGGTATGTTGTGTATAACTATGACTTCTGAATGTAAATATAATTTCTAATCAATCATCCATTTTTATTCTTAGTTTCTTAGATAAACATACTAATTTTATGTTTAATTGATTAATAACAAACTAAATTATAAATAATTAATGTTTCTGCTACATTATTTTAACTGTGATAGTTAAACACAATTTTAATTTTATTCAGAATTGTAATGAATAATTCTATATTGCATTTGAAAAATGTTCATGTATTAAAAGTATAGCTAATGATTTTGTTTTCCAAAATAATTTGTTGAGGGTTGAAACTATTACAAATACATTACATTGTTTATTTTAAATGTTATTTTGTGGCAAATATTTTTTGAAGAAAGCTTAGTGTAAACATTATTAGTATTATATGTTCTGTAATAAACTTTTATTTTTTATATCGCATGATTGTTTTATAAATTGAATATTTAATCATTTATGATAAATTGGATTTGATAAGGTTGGTTTGAATTTTTAAGCTAAATAGTTTTTTTCTTATACCTTAACACGAGCATTACTGTAAGGTAGACCATTTTGGCATAGTTCATTTAACTTTTTTGGATAAACTTGATTTATGCCTTTATACTTTTGTTTAATTAGGTTAATGTATTGACTTGGTTGGAATTTTACTATAATATAAAAACAGGAATTATGTAGACAAATATAATCCGTCAATTCGCTAATCAACAAATCAAGCAATAAATAAATAACGTTGACGTCTAACAATAATTTAATGATTTACTGATCATTTTTAACCTTGGCGTATAATAAAGATCTATTCTAGGCTTGTAATAATTTAAAATTTCTAATTCTTAAAAATTTGAGTGAAAGAAATAGTATTGATAGCAAACAAATTGACATTAAGAAAATGTTTGGAAGAGTCTTTATTTGACAATAATATTATTATTAATTAATATGATTATCCATCAAATATTAATTTGACGAAAAAATAAAAGAAGTAAATCACAACATCATTATTATTTCAATATTGTGGGATGATTTTCAGCGATTGATATTGTAAGGATATTAAGGTGATTAACTAAAATATATTAATAAGCAAATATTTTTGCTTTTGAATAATATTTGAATTAATAAGAAGTATATTGTATTAATATATGAAAAACAAGAATTTTTCACGACCTTCATCAAGGCCGGATTAAGGGGGAGTCTAGACGGTGTGACAACCCCGGGGCCCTCTCGAGTTATTTAAATTACAATTATTAAGTGGCCGCCTCCATTTTGTATACAGTCGGCTATCCGTTTTTTCATAAATACATAACTCTTTGTAGAATATGTATATCGATAGCTGTAATTTTCGGCCTTGACTTTCATCCCCATTTTAATTGTTATTAAAAGTTGATTTATGTTGTTTGTTAAGGGTATTGGTACAATAAATAATTACAATTATTTATTTCTACATGCAATACACCGGTTGTGTGCGGTAATCACTATTTAATAAAGCACTATTTATATGAAAAAAAAAATGCTTTTACAGGAAAAACTCACATCCTGTAGAATAGTTAGATTACGTTAATATTATTTTTATTTTAAAAAAAAGGACATTTTGCAGGTTGGATCAAAGCCGAATTTTTATTTTACTATAAATAGCATTAGAAAAAGACGTTTTAAAATAAACAAATATTTGTTAATTTTCAAACGTATTTTCCTACCACTTTTTAAAGTAAAATAAAAGTTTGGGGGAAAAAAAAAATAATAACAGAATCCAACTATTCTACAGGGCATGAGAATTTTTCCTGTAAGACGTGTTTTTGTACTAAATAACACATAGGCCTTAACTGAAACCCCTAATCGTAATCAGTTGACATTAAATTAGATTCTTTAGCGTCTATGTGTAATACCACTTATACCTATTTATTCATTGAAGACAAGATTAGGATATAATATTGTTTTTCTTAAGATTTATTTAATATGTATTACTAAAAACCAAATACAAATACTTTATTTATTTTGAATTGTACTTTTTTTAATGTACTATCATCTTTTAAACTAATTAGGTACTCCAATAATAGTTGAAAGAGATAAATATAGTTGATACTATAATGTTAAATAAACATATCATATATATTTCTTATAGATTTAATAGGTTCATTTGGACTAGAAGGTTACAACTAATTAATTTTTTGTTAGTATTTTCTTTGTTCAGGTGTTAACCAATTCTAGCAACATATTTACATATTTTTTGACTAAGTTGTATGTCTAAATTTCAAAATTCTTTTAACATTAAAACAAAACAGTCAAGTTAAATTTAATTTTAAAAACAAATTCTTACAATTATTAGACAGTAACAAAATGTAACATTTATCAACAAAATGTAATTTTCTTTTCAATATTTCCATAATGTGTACACGTGAATAGATTAATCTACATTTCAATATTCACATGTAAACGTATTTCCACCTGACCTTATTAAATACTTATTTATGGTATTTTGCATGTTTTGGGTGAATGCAAGGCACTCGTTACTCGTTATTAACTATTGTTTAGATATTTTTTCATTTATTTTAAACGTTTATATTGTTCATAGTATAAATCATCCTTTAAAGTATAATATTTTTAGCTGAAAACAAAATTAAATTTGAGTGGTTATTTATTTACAGTGTTTTTTTTTCTTTATACAAGCAAAAATATATTTTCATTTAAAATTAAAATTATATTTTTTTCATTTAATATATTAATAAAATGAATTGAGTGGTTGTTAGTCACTTGTCCTGCTATAATAAATATGTGTTTTATCACTATAATCTTTGAAAATAATAAAAAGGATGATAAACAATAGTTTTTTTTTAATTTCTAATAGAACTATAAGATAATGTTTACAAATTTTATACGTTTAGTTGGCTCTCACACTCTAAAATGAATATAAAAAGCCTATAAAAAGCCCGAGCTTATTATTATAATTATAAAAATAAGGTTTAATAATAATGAAAGCTGTTAATTCGATGCACTTAAAAAGTGCTAAATAAGCATGAATTTATGTGTTAAAAACAGGAAAAATATGCACTGAAAATTCTAAAATATGGAAATATATGCTGTGAAAATTCCAAAAAAAAATTATCAATTATCATATTACAATTATCTTCATTAAAAAAGTGGGTATAGTAATTAATAATTATTTATAAAAAACAAATTTATATATGGTTATGAAAACGAACGCCAAAGGGAAAAGAGGAAGACCAAAAAAGACTTTTATTTTTTGAAAAGAGTCCTAATCGCGGCGTTCGAAACGCTCAGTGTGTTATCACCTATTAACTATCCTTTAGGCCAGCGTTTCCCGAACTCGGGGTCGCAATCCAAAACAGAGTCGCAGATGTTTTTACAGTGGTTCGTAGAAAAATAAAGGTAATGTAAATGTGTGCAAGAAATAAATTCTAATGTTATTATAATACATTGTTTTTTACACCAAGAAAATTTAGCGACGCAAACAAGCTATACAAAAAATAACTTATTTTGTTCTTAAAGATATAATTTCTATGGTAAATTTTATAAATTCAAGACATCTTGATTCCCGAATATTTAATGCAATGTGTGATAAAATGGGGTCACAACACACAAGTTTACTTTACAACTCAGATATGCGTTGGCTTTCTCGTAGAAAATTCTTAGTCAAGTTTTATCACTGCGTACAGAAATCCACATTTTTTTGACAGAAAAAAAACCACCCATTGGCCGAAAAATTATCCGACCATGCTTGGGTTAGCTAAGTTAACCTTTTTAAGTTACATTTTGAACATTTAAATCAGTTGGATACAGAAATACAAAGTAAAAATCGAACAATAATTGATATCGATGTGCAAATATAATTAAAAAAACTATTTTTTCAAATATTATTCAAACTTAAACAATTTGTATTACTTCTAGTAATAATTTTTTTTTTTTTGGCTTAGTACAGGCCATTTGCCGCAACTACCACCTCCTCCCATCGTTCTCTATCATTTGTCATCTCTTCCGGTTTCTCAACTCCTATTAGCATTAGATCTTGATGTACACGGTTACTCCATCGTTGTCTCGGTCCGCCGAGGGGTCTTTTTGTTTGGTTTCCATGTCGTTATTTTATTTAATATTTTTCCTTCAGCACGCCAGACATGTCCTGCCCATCCGACATAAGAATTACTATTCTTTTAGTAATTAAACTATGCTTCATTTTTAAGACGATTTATAATCACAGAAAGACATTCAAAGTTTGATTATAAATGTCAAATTACCTTTTAATCGGTTGGGCTTCAAAATGTTTTTGAATACTCCTGATTGAAAATGTTTCATCTTCATCAAAACTTTCAATGCATTTATATAGGTACAGATTACAAATTTTTAGATATCAGAACAATAATGATTATTAGATAATAATGTATAGGTACTCATTAATACTATTCTATCTATATACTATAGTATAGTCACAGTGCATACATAATTCTTCCCATGTGACTATGTAAGTATAAATTATCTACATTTTTATTAAAATCAAAAATCATTTCAACGAAAATATTTCTTAATTATATGTCAGCTTGGCCAATAAAATTATAAATCTTACTAAAATATGGGGAAAAAATCATTTATATGCCATACTTATCTTCTTATATATCTTATATAAGCTTATATATCTTATATATTATCTTATTATATTAAAAATGGTACTGCATGGGTAAGCTTTGAAAATACTCATTAAAATGCTCATGAGAACACACGTCCGCGGTTACGGTATTCAAACAAGGACTATTTTATAAAAACAAATACCAAAATCGAACTCACACTATCAACATTATAAGAAGAAAACTAAATTATTCTGGTTATTTGATTATTGATATAGGTTATTTAACCTACTAATCAAACTAAATTTATATTGTACAATAATTATTGATATCAATAAAAAAATTATTATTAAGAATCATAACATTATGTTCTACAGTATATTTATTTATTAGAATTTTTTCAAAAATTAACAAATAATTATAATTTACACGTATTTTTTTTTGTCAGTACGGGAGACAATAGAATTTTATATAAGCGCACGTCTAAAAAATACAAAATGGGTTTGGGGATTATTATCCCCCAAAATATTTAGTTAACATAACATTAACTCAATCTCTCCACCGAACACTCTCCGAAATTAAGTTTTTTCAAATATTTATTCCCCTCAGAAAACATTGTGCCACTATTTAAAAGTACCTACAATGAAAACTATTGTCTGTGCTTAATTTTTTGTTTTTCATTTTCTTCTATATATACTTTCCTTAATATATAAGTGAAAACCATTATATTTAATTAAATATCAGTATCATGTTAGTTCAGAATTGTTTTACCTTTAATTCACTATTTTTTTTTTTTTTTTTAATTAACATTGCGACTCTTGGTCGCACTCGAATGATCCACCACGGAATAGATTTACTAGCTTTACCTACTTGATAGCTGATTACATTTTATATGTTAAACTGTTATTTATTTTTATGCATTATACTTTATATTATACACTGGGCAGTATTAAAGAATAAAATCAGGGAGGCAATAGCCCCCTTGAAATATATAAGGGGATGGCAACATTTTTATGGTAATTCTAAATAAAAACAAATTCATTTTTACGGATTCTCGATGGAAAATTATTTAAGAACGATAAATAAATTAAATTATATGAAAAATAGATATAATATTGTAAAATATTATTTATATTATTTAGTAGTGTAAAAAGTGTGTATCTATCAGTATTTTATTTTACATGTTATTTCATTGAGGGATAGGTATTTGTTTAATCTTGATTTCTATGGGACGGGACATTCAAACTAAAAGGTACCACCAATTAGTCTTACAAAAGACTATGTTATATAAATAATAAAAAATAAAAATTAAACCAAAAATTATTAAATGGTTAATACTCCTAAATTAATATATAAATAAAAAATAATTCATGTATAGAAATAAATAAATAAAAGCTTAGCCGGGAGTATTAGAGTATTTGTAAAGCACAACAGTTTTAAATTAAAAATTCATCGTCAGGTTAATACAAAGTCAATACAATTTTGACTGAATATAAAATATATATATATATATATATATATATATATAAAAATATAAATTATAAAAAATAAATAAGTTTAGAGTTAAAATTTTATTGAGTTTGTATATAACTGACGATGAATTTTGAATACGAAACCAGTCGTATTTTAAAATTATTATAATACTCCAGACTTATCTTTTATTTCTGTATTAATTTATTTCTATAAACTATTTGTTTATTTATTTATATATTATTTTTCTATTACTTCAGATAATTAAAACTAATCGCTGACGTTCAGGACCGGGCTGAGAAATCAAAGGCCCCAAGGACAAATTAATTTAGGCCCTTCTCATACTAGATATAAGCTTGTTCCTGACTTCCAATGTTGTCTTTTAGAATTTATATAACAAAGAGATAATGCAAATGCAGTCACGGTTATTCCATAGACTAAATGAAAATAATTATTTATAAGGTATGGGTCTTTCTTGAAAATGTTATTATCTACTTTTTAGGTCAATATTGTAGTGTTCACTTTATTGTAGAATCGTTATGACTGTACAGCATACGCTATAATTATTTGTGTAGGTTATTAGCATGATTCATGTTGGTGATCCATAAATAGTTCGACACCATGACCGAGACGTAATAGATTTAGTCAGACCCCAGGCCTTTTTTGAAGCCTGGGCCCCTGGGCTAAAGCCCCGGTTGCCTCCCTTCTCGTCGGGCCTGCTGACGTTGAATTGAGTTGCTGGGTATCAGCGCCTAGTAGTGGTCGGTGTAGTTAGTTCTACATAAGTGGGGGTTCTAAGATAACTCAATATGTGGTTGCAGAAATGGGGAACTAAAAAAAATAATATACAGTGTGTAAATGCTAACTGAAAACACTCAACATCTTTGCATAGAGAATTGAAATTTGTATATTGCATGCATACTGTTTGTTAATTAATTAAATTAAAAGATGACTTATTTCTATTATAAAAATTATTCTTAGTATTACTACTAAACTAACTACTAAAAATATTTTGTACCTAATTATTATCATTAAAAAAAATTTTCAAAATATTTAATCAAAGAATTTAAGTAATATATTTTAAATAAATGTTTAAAATTTGCATTTTATTGTTTTAGTGCTGGTGGTTTAGTCACTGCTGTTGCACCCGTTGTAGTTCAAGGAAATGGATTATGGATTGGATGGGCAGGTGTTCATTTAGGGGAAGGTGAAAAAATACCAGAATCAGATCCTAATGATATTACACCTACCGCTGGATTACGTTCAGATAAAGTAAGATATTAATTTAAAAAAAAAAAAATACATATATAACATTTTTTTAAACTATTTTGATTTAACATTTAGGTTATACATGTTGATTTTGATCCTCAAACATTTGATAGTTATTATAATGGTTGTTGCAATGGTACATTTTGGCCATTATTTCATTCAATGCCTGATAGAGCACAATTTTCTGCTGACTCTTGGAAAGTAATGATAGTTGAAAATTATAACTAATACTTAAATGAAAAAAATTCACCTTTCATTTTTTTTTTTTTTTTTTTAGTCTTATTGTACAGTTAATAAAGAATTTGCATCGAAAACAGTTGGAGCCTTGGAAAGTTTGTCTATAGCAGATACAGATTCTGGAACTCCTCTTGTTTGGTTACATGATTACCATCTTATGTTAGCAGCCAATAGCATAAGAAATGTAAAATTGTATTTATTTTTTATAAATATAAATAATATATCACTTATGCAGTTTACTTTTTAAGTAATCTGTGTTAATAATGTATTGATGTTGATTAGTTAAAATGATATTTTTGACATGTGAAATTAATTAATTTAATTTTTCTTTAATTTAGTGTTGATTTCTATACTAAACTAACTTTTAATTGTAATTTTATTTAAGAATTTCATCAAAATCAAGGTGAGACAATTATTTTTAATTTATATTGTGTTTCAAACTTCATTAATTAATGATTATTATAATAGTTAAATAAATGTAATCAATTCAGAAAAACATTTTAATTAAAATACTATACAAATTTGACATAATATCATTTGATTTAATTAAATTTTTTTTGTCATAATGTAAAAAGAAAATTTAAACCTTCTTAGTATTTTTTGCAGTTACGTAACTATTATTTTATTGTTTTAGGCAGCTGATGAAAAAAATTTGAAATTCAAATTAGGATTTTTCCTTCATATACCATTTCCTTCATGGGATATTTTCAGACTATTTCCATGGGCTGATGAAGTTCTGCAAGGAATGTTAGGTAATAACATTTATTATAATAATAATTTTAAGAAAAGTTTAAATGGATTTTATATATTTTATTTTCAAGGTTGTGATATGGTTGGTTTTCATATAGAAGACTATTGTTTAAATTTTGTGGATTGCTGTCACCGAAGATTAGGTTGTCGTGTTGATAGAAAAAATTTACTTGTTGAACATGGTGGTCGTACAGTACGTATTCGTCCTTTACCTATTGGTATACCTTTTGATCGATTTGTAGAAATGGCTGAACAAGCGCCAACTGTTATAAGTACATCATTACAATTAGTACTTGGTGTAGATCGATTAGATTACACTAAAGGATTAGTACATAGACTAAAAGCTTTTGAGTTATTATTGGAGCGATATCCACAACACAAGGGCAAAGTAGCACTTATGCAAATTGCTGTTCCATCACGTACCGATGTTAAAGAATATCAAGACCTTAAAGAAGAGATGGATCAGCTTGTTGGACGTATAAATGGACGTTTTACAACACCTAATTGGTCGCCTATAAGATATATTTATGGCTGTGTCAGTCAAAATGACTTGGCAGCTTTTTATCGTGATTCAGCTGTTGCAATGGTTACTCCATTGAGAGATGGCATGAATTTAGTGGCCAAAGAATTTGTTGCTTGCCAAATAAAAGAGCCACCAGGTGTTCTTATTGTATCACCATTTGCTGGTGCTGGTGAAATGATGCACGAAGCATTAATTTGTAATCCATATGAATTAGTTGAAGCAGCTGATACTTTACATAGGGCTTTAACTATGCCTGAAGATGAAAGGATGCTAAGAATGAGATGTTTAAGGCGCAGAGAAAAAGTGCATAATGTTGATTATTGGATGCGATCTTTCTTGAAGGCCATGGGTACTCTGATATTTGAAGATGGAGATGATGTTTTACCAACTACTATGCAGCCAGTCACTTTACAAGATTTCGATGATTATTTATCCAAGTAATAAATATTTTTGAGTTAAATATCATTTGTATAACTAATATTGATTTCAATTGTAGATATATTGGTAATACAAACAAATTGGCATTACTATTAGATTATGATGGTACATTAGCTCCATTAGCTCCACATCCTGATCTTGCTATCTTACCTTTAGAAACTAAAAGTGTTTTAGAAAGATTAGCTAATATGTCTGATGTATACATTTCTATTATATCTGGAAGAAATGTTCACAATGTTAAAGATATGGTCAGTCATAAATTTTAAATTTTTAAATTAGTCAAATAACTATTAATTTATAGTAATAATTAAAACTATTTAATTAATATTAGGTCGGTATTGAGGGTTTGACCTATGCCGGTAATCATGGACTGGAAATTCTTCATCCAGATGGCAGTAGATTTGTACATCCAATGCCCAAAGAGTATGAAGATAAAGTTAGTGTGCTGTTAAAAACACTTCAAGACCAAGTAAATATTTACAGTTTTACCTTTGAATTAAACATAATGAATCTTAAATTAAATTTTTAGGTTTGTAAAGATGGTGCATGGGTTGAAAATAAAGGTACCTTATTAACATTCCATTATCGTGAAGTACCTGTTGATTCCCGACCAGAGCTAGCAGCTACAGCACAGCGATTAATAGAAGAAGCAGGATTTAAAGCAGGACAGGCTCATTGTGCCATTGAAGCTAAACCTCCAGTACAATGGAATAAGGGACGTGCATCTTTATATATTTTACGCACGGCTTTTGGCCTAGATTGGAGTGAACGCATACGTATTATTTATGCTGGAGATGATGTAACTGATGAAGATGCAATGCAGGTAATATTTTGATTAATTTTTAAAATAAAAATAAAAATTTAGTTAATAACATGTGTGTTACTTAAAAAAGGCGCTGAAAGGTATGGCAGCAACATTCAGAGTAGCTCAATCTCAAATCGTAAAAACATCTGCTGAACGTCGTTTGCCAAGCACTGACTCAGTGTTGACCATGTTAAAATGGGTTGAAAGACACTTTGGAAAACGGTTACCACGTGAAGATAGTGTTGGAAATTTAAGTAATTGTCTCCAAATGTCATTAGGAGAAATGCAAATGGAACTCAGCATGCCAGATGAAAAATCCACACATTAAAACTTTAAAATATTAGGTATTTGAAATCTAAAGGTAGTTCTAATTCACGGTGTATTAGTATAAAACAATGCGATCTTGAATCATAACAGATAATAATATTTAATTATATACTTAGAATTTAAATATTTTATTTTCATACACGTATAAATAATTTACATATGTGTATAAAAATCATAATACCTTGTTTTACAATCAACAAAGAACAATCTATTTTATACGTCAATTAGAAATTAATTAAAATTATAACATTGAATTTAAATTCATAAAATACAGGTATAAATATTTCTTTTACATTCCTTTAACATTTAAACTATCAGTTTCTTTATTTTATATTTAAACCATCAACAAATTATTAACATATTATTAGTTATGTATCTCTTAATCACATACCTATGTTTATATATTTATATATTCATGAATATCAAAACTGTACTTAAACTATATTAGTCATTTGTCATTACTAGTCAACTAGAAGATTGAAGAAATGGAACCATATTGTCATACTTAATGAAAAGCACAATACCAAATAATTATTAATTTCAGAGTAACTAATACTAAGTTAAGTTGAGTATTTGAATCTAACCTTTTATTGTATTTATCATTTTACCTATAAGTTACAATATACGTGTATGTAACAGTCTGTAATCTATATCATCAATATATTGTGCCATAATCTAAAATGATTCATGTAATTGGGTATTGTTACATGTAAAACATATTTTAGTTTTATTTTCATTATTGTTATTACATATTACATTGTATTACGTATTATAAACATTTTATTTTATTTATGATTGGACTATATTTTTGCCTTTATAAATGTTACATAAATGATTTTTATTTATCATATGTTTGTTCTAATCTATTATTTAGTGTAATAAAAATAACCAAATAACCCAATGCAATATTTTTAATGAAATAATATATATTATTTTTTATTTTTATGAGTATAGAAAATAATACAATCTGCATTATGCAAACTGCATGCTTGTGGTACAATAAGCATAAGTGAGTATGATAGATAAACGAATAATAGTATTAGTAATAAATTAAAAGTATTTACAAATAATTCCTACTTATATTGTAATACTAATATAATTTTGCATGAAAACTAAAAATACATAAATTAATAAGGCTATCCAGTGACAGAACTTAAGCTAAAATATTAGTATATATGTATAAACATAAAAATAAGATATATTATAAATATTGCGTTGAGTTATTTTTTATGTATTGTAAATGTATGTGAATGTATATTATATCGTTTGCGTGTACGCGCGTTCCACGCAGCAGCAATATTTCAGATTTTTCTAGAGTTGAGCATTCGGCATGCTCTTATTAAAATGCTAACTCGGTGGCTCATTTACCAAAGTGCGAATTAACGTGGATGTAGGGGAACGTCAAACCAGTACAAGAATATAATGTATTGTATTTTATAGTATATATAAGTATATAAGTACCCGTATAGAACACATAATTTTTTCAGATTTCGGCTGGGCGCACACCTATAGAGCAAAACTGCTCCGAACTGCGTGGAACATTTTGTTCCAAACAACTCGGAACAAATTCCATTCACACTGACAAAACAGAACAAGATACAATAATTCTGGATTACCAGTCGTCAAGATGAGTTTTGACAAAGACGACGTCGTTGTGCCGCTTATGTGGAAATTTTTATTAAATATTGAAAGTAGTAAAAAAAACGCAATAATTTTGACCCCCCCCCCCAAAATACGCCCCTGCACGTAGTATATACGGATAGATAGCATCTACGTATTTCAAAAAGTGTAATGGAAAAATTTCGATTTGATTGTAGGATAAAAATATGACTTTTGCACAATTTTGCGCCCCTTTGCAATTCGCAGCCCTGATGTAGGCACAGTTCGCCATATCCTTGCTACGCCACTGAATAATCGTAAAAAAACAAGTGACTTTGGATTTCGTATTTTGCTTTGAGCAAAAATAGAATAGGATGGATCAAGACCGAACATGTTTTGTTTTGTTGTGTGTTGATGTTGATTGATTAGTGTACGCGCGTTAATTACTTTACACGTGTTCTAATTGATGACCAAATAGCTCTGAATTGATCCGAGCTGCTCGGAGCAGTTTCGCTCTATTGGTGTGCGCCCAGCCTATTACAATACATCAATGGCTATATAAAATACTGTTTTATACTTTGATGATGTGCTAACTTTAGTTTAGAAACTAAACTTTAACATGAAGAGATTTTGTATTAGCCTCAAAGTTTCTTGATGAACCTTAAAGCAAAAAAAGAAGAATAATTGTATATAATATATTAATTTCCATGTTATATATTTTTGAATACGAATACATATAAGCAGTGGCGTACATTCAATCTTGCTCTGGGGGGGGGGGTTAACAAAAAAAATCGTTATCTTTTTTTTTCGTTGCACAGATAAATAAGATAAATAACTGCTATAAATAGATATTATTTTATATAATTTTTTTACCAATTTACAGTTTATTTTTACACTATATTAAATTAATAGCTATTGAAATATAAAAACAGTATAGTTAACAAAAATTTTCAAACACCTATCAATATAATTATTTAATTATCATAATATTTGTATAGTTGTATATTTTAAGTTTAAAGCGTATTAATGAAACTACGAATATATTACACGTCATCAATAATAAAACACTTTTTTTTTTGGCTTTGGGGGGGGTTTGAACCCGGAACCCGGAACAGTTTAAAATCGATGTTACAAAAATCATGTTAAAAAAACGTATTTAATTATATTTATTAAACATTAATAATAAAATAGGTACCTATCTTGATTGTAGCTTTAATTTAATTTTAATTTTTTCATTTAAAAATATACTAATAAGTTGTCAAGTGAAAGAGTAAGCAATGCTTACACTGCTTATATGTATGCCATGGGCTGCGACACGATTGAGCATAAAACACCTTTTTTGCGACACGATTGAGCATAAATTGTCGGCGTATCAAAGGAAATTGAAATACAAAAGAAAACCAACACGATTGAGCATAAAAAACTCTGCAACGTTGCCATTTTCAATTTTGAACTGTATCGTATAAAAACATTTATTTAAATAATTATAATAAATCAAAATATAACATGACAAAAAAATATCATGTTTTCATAGTCAATATTTAATATGCATGAAAATACTTATGATAGTAGTATAAATAATTAAATGTGCCATCGCCAAAATACTCAGTACAATTATTTGTCATAAATTGTAGATTTTGTTCTGTAGTTAAACATACAAAATTATCATCAGTCGGCATGTAAATGAATTGTTGACCCTTATATTTAAAACATTCTTCATTTTTTAAGTCACTTAATTGATGAATTGTTTCATCCAAAGAAGTTGGTAATTTAGGATAGGTCTGCTTCCGTTTATCATACATTGCTTTCCGTACATTTCTTACATTTTGATTGTTTAAATTTGATGTTGGAGAAGAATTTAAAAGTTCGGTGCGAATAATTTTAAGTGGCCGTGTGTAAATTGATTCTTCAGCTTTTCTTTTGCAATTTTCTCTTAAAACTTGCGTTTCTATTTTCTCAATAGAATTTTTATCGTGATTATGTTGTCCAGCAGTTTCAATCACTTTACGTTTATCGAAACCCGAGAACATTATTGCCGAACATTTATTATTAGTACACCTCCATCTCAAAAGATTGTCTTTTTTTCGCTCTCCAATTAATTTATACTTGTATAAATTAACTAGGGCCAATTCTTTGCCTCTTTCCGATAAAATAATTGTTATATCCATATTTTAAAAAAATAGAAAAACGCACTAAGTATACACGCACTATACACTACACAGGTGATCGAACACTGATATTATTTCTATAATAATTTTGGATTTGTATCTTAATTATCTTATATTTTCCCCCGATGCTAAATGTTTAAAACGTCGTTTTGCTCCGGAACTAATTTATTAATCGATAACATTGTCGATAAAATTTATAAAGCCGATAAAGCTCACGGCTCGCGTCAGATATCATAATAATTGGTGTAATAATACGAGAAAATAATAAATTACAAAATTTTGGCAACGTGAATGTGGCAACGTCGCATAAAATATTCTATGCTCAATCGTGTTGCTAAAAAGGTCTATGCTCAATCGTTTTATGCTCAATCGTGCTTTACCGATGCCATGCCACTGCGTTTACGTATATAACTGGTCATCAAAAAAATCTGATAGAAGCTGACACTTGACTGGATCTGCAAATCGAAAACTGGATCGTTTTAATAGAAAGTTAAGTAAATCATATTTTATTCCGTACGTTTGTTACGCTGATAAAATTAAATTATATTTATTAATCGTAAATAAGTCATTATCGGTGGTATAACTAATTCTAAAATGTAATATAAATATACTTATACACTTTTTTGGGCATATATTTTTTTTTTTTTTTTTACAAGGTATTCATTTATAATTTAGTTTCATCCCTAATAAATGGCCTCTTGAAATGGCTTGACCCACAGTTCCCCGACTATGGATCCGCCACTGTGTGTAACTCATTTTCTTAAATTCAAATTGTAATAGTGGTTAAAAATGAACAACGTTATTTCTTAGTCGAATTTTCATTTTCAATTTTCTCGGTGGGCCGCTGCTTATATTGACGAAAATGGGCTGATGAAAAATATTACTACTAATACTATTATACATGTACATATATAAAAATAAAAGTAAATAAATATAATACTGATAATATATATTTAAATTTAGCCTAAATCTATAAATTTCATAGAAAATCCCTTTAAAATGAAGAAGAAAAAAGAGTAATTACATTTAGGTTACATAATTTTAAATGTAATTTTTTTATGTATTATTTCAATTGAATGAACAAAAATTGAAAATTAAATTTTATTTAAAATTTGGAGTGCAAATTTTTTTATCTTTTTTTTAACATATTAGTGCATATACTTGTGCATGTTAAGGATCTTTTAGAGCATATTTGATTGGTTTTTAATGCATATAACTCCGTGCTATAATGATAACTGATTGTTCAGATTTAAATGATTATATATAGTCATTAATAATACCCCACGGCAAAGCTGATTACTGATATATCATGTTTTTCCACAATAATTATACGCGAACCATGTAAATAGAATAATATAGCTAAAATGTTGTATAACCAGGCAGTGGCATGTTGAACTAATTATCGGTGAAGAGCAAAAATGTATATACCATAAGGTATCCTTTATTCATCCTAACGGTATTTCCACCACATCAAAACATTTACAATTTAAAAAATATACGTATATTAGACTAATTTGTATAATCAGATTTACTTACTTAATTACCTAGTAAATTTATTACACCTCACTAATTATTTTTTATCTTGATCTATGCAGTGTGTATGAATTTTAAATAATGTTGTTAACATTAATATTGCAATTAGCACCAATTATTTCTAATGTAACGGATCATGTACAGTACATTTGTGCGCCAAATATTTACTATCACTTAAAACATTTAATATGATGTTATGATTTATCTATATTATTGTTAAGTATTTTTTGGCTGGGGGACCACCCACCTACCAAACATTTTGAAGAAGCAATTGCTCCAAAATAATATCATCACCACGCCACTGTAACCAGGTATGCTTCAAAACGAATTAAAAAGAAAAGGAGGTGCAGAAAATAAAAGAGATAAAAATCATAGAGTTGTTGAAGAGAGCAAAACATGTGTAAAATTGGATAGTATAATATATATTATAATTTTAAATATTATTTATGAACGTTGAAAATAAAGGTGGTGATTGCCGAGTTGGTTCTCTCAAAGTTTAAGTAATTGTTTAGTTGGAACTTGGATATAATCATGCGGGCCGCTGTATTCTATTTTTCTCGGGCCGGTCAGATTATACTTATCCGCCCCTGCAGACAACAACGGGCATTCAGCTAGTTTGCTTACAAATATTTAAATTATAATTATATACTTTTTTTGTTCCCATATAAAAGTTACATCAGAAAAAAAAAGGTCATTCAATAGGGCGAATGTATGTTCCCACACGAGATATGGCAGGTAAAAATTATCCCTGGGTATGCATACGTAAGTACCCACAAGAAATAAATTACACCCGTATGTAAGTTCCCACACGAAAAAAAATTATATCGAACACAAACTTCTGTGGCGACGTAAACAACGCACCGCGAGTCGTCCAAGTTGTTTACAATTTTGTCAGTGGATAAGGGGAAATCTCATGTTCTAGAATATTCGATGATTATATAGTTAGGGTAATTTCGAAAATGTTCTAGAACAATCGATGCTTATATATACTGGCTGGTCAGACGATCAATTAAGGTACGGTCTGCAAGGCGCGACATATCGTCAATATCTGTTTTTAAGGAAATCGTATTATCTGGTCAGCCAGACGCGACAGGTCGCGACGTGTCAACGTTTGGTCGCTGCGACCGACGACACAACACGGCGACACCATGTCTTAATTAGTTTTTTTGCCATCTGAAAATTTTAATTCAGGAAGTACAAAATAATCCTATATTATATAATATGGCAGCCGCAGATTATAAAAATTTTATCATAAAAGATAATATATGGAAATATATTGCCATAAAAATTGGAAAATCTGGTAAATAAAATAATTTAATACAATACTTCAGTATATTTAATTATTTTAATGACGATTTGGTGACGATTTTGATGAACTTGATTCATCTTTTAAAACTATGGCTATAACAGCTAAGAAATTACCACTGGAAAACTTGAAGCTAAAAAAAAGATATTTTCATTGATGACACAACTTGAAGAAAAGCATTTTTTAAAAGAAAAATTTGTAAATCCAAATGCTGTTTGTCAAATTTCAAATGTTCCTGCTCCACTTATCCCATTACAACAACATTTTCAAACATTAGATTCTATTCAATCTTCCCCATCAGCAGGGCCGGCTTTAGCTCTTTCAGCGTTCAGTGCAAGAATTATTTTGACAATCTTAAACGATTTAAACGCAGTGGCGCAGTTCTGAGGGGAGTAAGGGGTTTCCACCCCCAGATTTTTTTTTAAATTATATTTAATTATTATTTATTAATATTTACATATTATAGTAAAATTATATTTTCGTTTTACTAAGATTAGGTATATATTAAAAATTGAGTAATAAAATAATTTTCATTAAATACGGGACATAATAATAATAATAATGTAATATTATTATATAGGACCTCGTATTAAGATATGCAAAGATTATTATGAATTGAATCTTAAACACCCCCCTCCTCCAGAAAAAAATTGTATATACGCTACAGCTTAAACGTATAACCAAAACCGGCCGACTTTTGGTAACTGGAGGCATCTCATTATACATATTATGAGCATTACATTTGGTAATCGTAAACGCTCGAAATAATTGTTTCAAACGTGCATGTTTGCCACATAATTGTAAATCGTTCGGAGAACAATTATAATAATACTCAAAATAATATAACGATGGTTTATATAACTGTAATTGTATCCACAAGAGCGGCCCATCCTTGCATGTCGATAGAATAATAATAATGATAATCATAATAGTAATCAAATTCATATTGAATCATATCGTGACATTTTTTTTCTATCCGTAGTAGATTGGGCAGAGCATTTTAAGCTCTAAAAATTCACCAAATATGCAATTAAATATACAAAATATGCTTTTAAAATAAAATTTTTTGAATAAAAAATTAGAATTTTTCTGTAGGTAACTTATTATTATGAATACATTTTATTTACAACTTTATTTAACAACTTACAAGTTACAATTAACTAATTGGGTTTATTTTATAGGTTTTCTTATCAGGACACTTACTTTAGGCATTTTTTATAATAAATAGTAAATAGAACGTGTTTGGACTGTCGACCGTTGAGAAACACAGCGATTACTGAAATATGAATATGTTCGATGTCGGTTAAAGGCGTCCCCGTGGCCCGTATCAATATTTTGTGCTTTGAACAATATTATCTCATCTGTCCATAAATAAAATTAATAATCTGACAATAAGTCTAAACGACAACTCTCGAGACGTGTTTTTAGTAAAACCATGATGGATCTGGAAAAAGTTAAAAACCATATTAATATTATGATCATAATTTAAAATCATTTTAAATTCAACGTTATTTTGTTTGTATAGATAAATAAATAAAAACTTGGACGAAAAAATATTGATAAAATGATAAATTATTTAAAATATACATCTAAAAGTATAAAATGGAAGAAATATGTCCTAAAAACAAAAAACGCAAAAATATGCATTTATATGCACAATACAATTTCGAAACTAGTTTTGTGGAAGTATGAAACATATTTGTTTTGCATTCTGCTATTTTTGTGACTGTGCAAAAAAAATATGCTAATGCTAAAAGTTCTTTGCTATAATATTAAATGATTTGTGTCGCCAACGGTTAATCAAATTGGGTTATAATTTCGACGCCTCTTATGCGCCCTTCTGATTTTAGCGACCAGTGCCGTCGCATATTTCGATTGTATCTAAAGCCGGCCTTGCCCATCAGGTAGTATTTACTCTAGATTTTCAGACTCAGAATTTTCTATGTATAATAATTATGATGACCCTATTGCATAACAATAGTCTATACTCTATAGTAATATATTTGATTTTGTTTCTTTCAACTATTCATTTAATTTCTGAGTATTTTATTAATTTTATTAAAATGTTGATTTTTTTTGTGTTATGTTACCTAAATGTTACAACTACATTTATTTTTTCTGAGTATATATTCTAAACTGAACTGACATAATGATGGTATTATTGCGACATGTCGCGGTCGCAGACATTTCAAATAAATGGTCGCGGCGACCGATCTTAGTCGTCGGTCGCCGCGACATGTCGTGCCTTGCAGACCCTACCTTTAGTCAGTCAGTCCATTGCTAATTGTAGGTAAGTAATTTTTTTTTTTTTTTTTTTTTGGATCGAGGCCCGAACAGTTACAACATCCCCGAATATCACAGATACCTACTACATTGATTAAACATACATGTATGTTACTCAATGTCTACTACTCACTTTGCCTCATAAGTAAGTATACCTATCACAGATTGCATTAATTTAATCTGTGCCTATATCAAAGTGCTGAACAAAATAATCTATTTCATATTTTCTAATCAGTGGAGGGGATGGAATGATTCTTATTATGAAGGCATATTGAACAGTATACAATTTAGAGGTCATTCAAAAAATAAAACACAAATAACTAAAATGTCATAGATAGTCTAGCGCTCGTTTAAAAATAAATTGCTTAGACTCATGAATAACATTTTATATTAGACTGATTTTACCGTATAACTGGCAACTGGCATAATTTTTATTATTATTAATAATAACAAACCTGAGCACCAACATCGACAACAGTTGATAAGATTAATTCCATAAAACATTCTTCCATCATTATATATTCATGTAAGCTGATAATAATGATTTATCAGTGATCATTATTTTATTTTAATTTTGTTTTATAAATGAAATAATAACTATATCCGATAAAGTAATGCTCAATTAGGTATATCGTTATAATATACCAGTATACCATCATAACCTACATTTTACATCTTTGGTACAATTATATCTAATTATAAGGATTCTAAAATGACTTCCAAAGTGATTTCAGTTTACGAAAATACTCAAAAATTAGGTGCTGAACTAGCTAAAAATCTCTCAGAACTTGCCAATGACGTATTAGCCGAAGGAGGAAATGCAGTTTTTAAGATTGGACTTTCTGGTATAATGATGCTATAATTATTACGCTTTTGTAGAATTATGTATTATTACACCAAATTTTTTAGGTGGATCAGTTGTATCGCTGTTATCCGAATACTTAGCCAAAGTTGAAACAGATTGGCCAAAATGGAGATTTTTCTTTTGCGATGAAAGATTAGTTGAATTCAGTGATCCAGAGTCTACATATGCTCAATACAGAGACAAGTTTATCAATAATCTTCCCATTAGTGAAGATCAATTCATTAAAATTAACCCTCAACTTTCAGGTAACTATGTACATAATTCATTTTTATTGATTATTAACAATCATTTTTTTAATAGTTGACGAAGCAGCCAGAGATTACATTCAGAAGATGTCTGTTTATTTTGCACCATATGATTTGCCTCGTTTTGATGCACTGATATTGGGTGTTGGTCCTGACGGACATACCTGTTCTTTGTTTCCCGGTCACAAATTATGTGAGGAAACATCAGTATGGGTTGCACCTATTTCTGACTCACCAAAACCTCCCCCAAGCAGAATCACTTTCACATTCCCAATCTTAAACAATGCTAGATATATTGCATTTATAGCTACCGGTAGCTCAAAAGCCGATATCTTGAAGGTATAATTTATACCTAAATCTTATTTAGGTTATACAATTTTAATTTATTATTTTTATTTGAATTATAGCGTATTCTTAAAGATGGTGAACCATTACCAGCTAATTGTGTACAACCAGTTAATGGAAGTGTGCAATGGTTACTAGATGAAACTGCAGCCAAGTTATTACAAGAAGAAACATCTTTATAACTTTTTTTACATAATTTTTATACAAGGTATTTGTTAGAGATGAAGATCATAATAAAATTATTAATTTTTGGTGTTAGACAAATTTTATACTAATATAATTTATATACCATTTGTATTAATTGTTTGTGTATCATGTATGAAAGAAAAGTTATGTAAATGATTTAAAATTATCAAATATTTTATACCTGAAGAAAATATTCTCTTTCCTTATGACTTATTATAAAATTGCTATATTCGTAAAAAATTTGAAAATTATTTACTTTCCATTTTAAGTCAATTATTTATTCCATTGATATTTTGACTTGAACAAAAAAAAAAAAAAAGGTATTTGGTAAAAATTGAAATATTTATAAATGACAACCTTATGGAAGTATTTAGTTAAAAATTTTACATAAAATATAATTAATATGAATTGTTTATTTGTTTTTATAATCTTTGAAATAATAGTGAGATTTTTATGTGATTCATGTTTTTTAAATAAATATTCAACTAATATTTTATGTATGTATAAAAATATTCTTATTTAATTTTGTAGTATGATAAGCCAAGGGGAGAATAATGAATTGCATAATTGTTCAACATCTAATGTTATTAGTTATTGTTATTTATATAATTATTATTATAATACCTTCAGTCTTCTCTTGATAAATTTTAACTTTACAGGAGTAGATTTCAGTTTTAAAATAATGTAGGTAGTAATAATTAAAATCGAGGAAAAATACTTTTATTTAAATTAAGATAGTTTTTGTGTTATAAAAAAAAACTAAAAATATAGCACCAAAGATCAAGAAAACATTACTATTAACTTAAAATAGATAAACTCTATTCAACAAACTCAAAAATATTGTTTTAAGCAAATTATGGTATATCATTTTATTATTAAATAGTATAATTGTAATCAATAAATAAAACTATAAAATATACAAGCATAACTAAGCTCATGTATTATTTTGCCTTCTAAAGAAAAAAGAAAATATCTGCAATTTCAAAATAATTACTCATAAATCATTAATTTAATCTAATATTAATGTAAACTTAATTCAGTCTTATCTATTCATTAATTTAAAAAGTATTAAATGTATAGTATTAAGCTATATTTTTATCAACTAAAAATTTAAAGAAAATTTAATTTTAAATAATTATATAAATACAGCTTAAGCTTACACACCTAATAAATGATAGCTTAAATTTTATATGAATATAAGTATTAAAAATAATGATCTCCTAAGTATTGGAGAAATAATTAAATATAATTTAATTTGTATAACACTTAAAAAATAATTCTTCATAATTATTATTAATTATAATGGAATAATTTGTTTAACTTCTATTCATATGTTATAATTATTATGATAAGATATTTTACACATTTATTAAAAGTATGATGTTTCAAATAATATTTTAATTTCAAAAATTGATTGAAATAAAATGGTAGGATGAGTATTTAAAATTAGAACCAAGTAATCAGTAGGTAAGTACTCTAGCATGAACATATCTTACAAATATTATTACTTTTGACACTTAGTTTCTCAATAATTAATTGATAAATTAATTTAAATTGAGCAACATATATATTGTAATTATAATTAAATAATATACATCATTTAAATAACATAATCAAGAACAATAAAAATATTTCATAAATAAAAAGATAAGATTAATCTTGTTTAAAAAATTGAAAAATATTTATTTTTGAACAAAAACAAAAAAAGTTATACAAACAACAATATTTTACAAAACATAATTGTCACGCGTGACTAGGAACAAACTTAAACAATTCTTTATAAAAAAAAAAAAAAATTTCAGTTTTTAAAGAGTTGATTAGTCATAATTAGTATAATCATTAATAATGATAAGGTTAAAAATTACATTATATTTTGAATTTTCATTACCTTGAGAATCTTTAAAGAAAATTATCACCAATTCTAATTTAATATCTGACAGTCTAAAAATGTAAAAACAATACAAATAAATATTTTAATAATTTTCGATCTAAACCCTATATAATTTATGAAATATGTATAAGTTGGTAAAAATATATTGTAGTTGGAATGTTGATAGAAAAAGCATTGGTGCAAGGGACACAATATTAAAGAAAAATCTTTTGAAATTCATCGAGCCTAAATTTGATTGGTAACAAGATAAAGTTGTATTTTAAGAATAAGCTTTATGATAATTAGCTTGTAATATATAATATATACGTAAGCATTTAAAATTTACGTATTATGATTTTATAATCAAACATAATATTTTTCTATCCTTATGGCTATGGTAACCAAGACTTCTGCAAAATGTCTACCCTTTCAGATCACCTTTCTTCAAGACATATAGCCCAAGATTTCACCAACAATAAATGTATATAATATTGAAAATTAATTTTTGAAAAATTGAAGGAGAAATATTGAACGTCAAAAGAGAAATAAATATGAAGAAGTTCAAACAACTGATGTTATGACATAGTAACTCCAAGTGCTTCACGACATCGTTCATAAACGACGTAACTTATACTAACAGCAGGTGCTACTTTCATGAAATTTGGTGTGATGCCTCGGTATAGTCCAGCAACACCTTCTTTCAACCAAATCTCTCTAAATACAGACATCATTGTCCTGGTATCAGGGCCTTCTAGACCTGAAGAAAAAAAAAATAAGAATTATTAAAATAAAAAATAGTAAGTTTAAACTTACAAGGTGCTTGAAGACGTGTACGAACAAGAGCTAAAGGATATGAACACACCTGGCCACAAGTACTAGAAACAGTACCACAAGCTAATAGTAATGGCATTCCAGGTTTTTCACCATTGTTGTGTGAAGCAATGTAATTATTTTTTAAAGTCTAAGAATTAAAAGAATTGATTATTAAATATTAATAATACTTAATCTTAAAAATGATTGTACATATGAAAATAGTAATAATCATTCGATTATTGATTTAGGCCATTCCAAGATTGCTTAGATTAGTTAGTATATACTATAAAAAGGGAATTAACTAATCACAATTGATAATTTTTATGAATTAATTATTATTATTTATTTTTAATTCATAAGTTATACACATAAATTTGTTTAAACAATAATTTAATATTTTAATATATATTAATAATATGAATTATTGTATTGTTAATTTATTTATTATGTTTATAATTATTTTTAGACTTAAATATGTTTTAAATAAAAATGTATAACACGCTATTTTTTTTTTTTTTACTCTATAATTTAAAGGGCCTCGACACTAGCATTTATTAAGGAACTTTAAATAGACCATTTTTAAAAATCTGTTGTGGTTGTGTTAGTAATTGTATACTCGTAAATGAACAACAGTGTTAGTAAATTTATATGGTCCTCGTACGACACACGGCGTCACGACCACGAAAACAAGATAAGATATATACTTATGCTTGCACCTCAGCAATGTGTACACGCCACCAAGAGGGCGTGCCCCCCAGTTTGGAAATCAGTGGATTAGAACATAATCAAAATCGTCAAACATTATTATACATTGCCTACTGTATAGTATAATAGCTTGTAATTTTGGTGATCTGATAATTATATTACTTGACGCTAAAAAACGACGCGTATTTAATTATATTTATTTTTGACAAATATAACAGTATAAATTTAATTAATTTACAATAGCAACTAGATAGCAATTTATTTCACATTAGTTAACTTATTCAATTATAATTTTAATATTCCTACAGAATTTATAGTGTATGTCGGCAATCCTTGTCCTAAACCTCAACTTGTCTGGGTTTTTTACTTCTCCACGCACACACCAACAGCCTTTATATCATTCTCAATCGTAATAAACCATCTCTTTTTTGGTCCTCCAATTTTTTTTTACTCTTCAACGTCTATTTAACTATTCTTACTGCTTTTGTTTTCTCTGGCCTCATAAAATCAGTTTCCTTATTCGAAACAAAAAAAGTGAAATTTTCACCCTCAAGAAACAATTCTTCTTTTAACAGTATGTTCCTAATATTAATCCGATTTTCGTTTTAAAAAAAAGGTATACATTTTTGATAAAATTTCCAAGTCATCGAACGTAATACAATTTAAAAAATATTTTTGATTATTTAATTTTCTATTTGAAAAACTACAATTTTTCAAATTTGGTAATCATTTTTAAAATAATATCGACAATGATAGTTAAAAATGTATTCCAACCAATGTATCAACCAAGTATTGAAAAATCTAAATTCGTTTTCAAAACTAATGTCGTGTTACTCATTTCGGAGTAGGATTAAAATTAAATGTGTTGTTTTCAATCAAAAATTAACTCATGCAGAGGCCCCTCAATATAGTTGCCTATTAGGTAGATATAAGACCACATAATAAGTAATTGTTAATTGATATAGGTATGAGTATATGAATTTATGGATTGTTCTATGGATAAAATTGAAAATCTCTCAATGAGGTTACTTTGGCGCGATTAAATTTGTATACACAAATTAATATGATCGTCTTATATTTTATTGATGATTCAAAACTATTGTCAATATATTTCATACATAACATGGAGAAAAAACATTTTTTTCGTAATATTTTTTTCTATTATTTTATAAATATTATATAATACTGCAATGAGTATATAACACTAAAATGATCTACCTCCGGACAGGGGCGTATTTAGACTTACTTTTAGGGGGAGGCGACTTAAATTTTTTCTTTAATTCAGGCTCAACATTTACAAGTAAAATTGTTGGTAGTATCAGGTGAATCCTTAATATTTGTAGTTTTTTTTTTTTTTTTTAATCTAATGCCGGATCCACTTAAAATGGTCTTTTGTATAGTTCTTTTTTAACACCTATCTTTGTTTTGAAAGTTTCGCTTATGTTTTATCTAATTATTCACTAAGTATGATCAATCAAAATAATATATATTATTTATCGTTATGGGACATATAAACATTATAAGCAATTGATCGTTTAACACTATAAATAATTCAAACGTTATTCAATTTAAGCGTTTAAACGTTATACAAATTTAAACCTTTAAAAAAATTTTCGTTTACCATTATTGACAGTTAAAACGTTATGAAAAATTTAGCGTTTTGCGTTATTTAAATTAGTGTAAAATTTGAAACGTTTTCAAATGTAGTAATACTATAAAATAAATCATAATTTTTGTTTCTTAATAAAATACCCATTACTTACATAAAAATTGTCTTGGTCTAAAAATTCTTGGGGGGGGGGCGATTGCCCTCATCCCCCCCCCCTCAAATACGCCACTGCATCCGGAACTATTTAAGCAAAGATTACTCTTTAAAGATAAGAAAAATTTGAAACTCTCACTATATTAAATAAGTCTTAATTTAATAATTATGGTAGACTAAGGAGAAAATATAGAAGAACATGTAGTTAATTATTTAAATTAGCTATATTAATGTATAAATGCCTAATGCAAGCAAGAGGTAGATTTAAATTATGTAATGCATTAGAAATTAACTAATATTTGTACAGAAGAGGAAGCAAGATACTCTGAAGAAAATTAGGATTTTATGATATATAGTTTTCATCACGTCATTCCCCCTCCCTCTGGATACCCATAGCTATACACAAGAAACAGTAGTATAACATTATGAAAAAAAAAATTAGGAAAGATCTCATATTGTGTTAATATAATTTATTATTATTGTATATTTATTTCTGAACTTGTAAAATTTAAAATAATAGTAATAAAATAATAATAATAATTCTATTTTATGTTAAATTTCTAAAAACTTAGTACAGTCAATTGAAGGTCCATTTTGATAGTTAAAATTATTAATTGTTAATTTATCATTTATTTATAATTATTTAAAAATATTAAACTATTTTAAATGATTGCAATTAGTATAATTTGTATTTTTTAATGTACTTAATTATTTCAAATTATTGATTTATAATTAACACTATTAATTTGAATTAAATAATAGTTTAACAATTAACTTGCATTTAATTTAAATAAAATTATTTTTCAAGAAAAAAATTACCTCATATACTGCAAGATCAATACCAGCATATGGGAGTATACCCAAAAGGTTAGGTACATAACCCCTATAAAAACTACGCATACCTTCTCGGTAATACATAATTTGAATACAATCAAATATACCTTTGTATTGATTACTTTTTCTTATGGCTAATCTTGTTTTTAACACCTATAAAAAAAAGTTATTAATATAAAGGTGATAATAAAATTCAAGTAGAACATACTTCTAAAGGATAAATTAATGACTGACTAAAACCACCAGCAAGTGATCCTGCCATAAATCTTTCAAATATTGTTAAGTCTTTAGTTCTCGAACCTCGAATTAAGCGTTTCGCTTGTTCATAAGCCATAAATTTAAACGCAGATTCTGGGGCTATTTTGAGTACATTAATTCCATTTCCACGCCACATACCTCGTTTGCCACCTTCTTTTAACATATTTTTGAAACATGTAGTTATATTGCTATGCTGATTTCCGTATACCTATAATACATTATCTATAATGTGTTATCTTTAAAAATTGGTAATAATCAGAGCTCAGATTTTCCAAACTTTTTTTAAATAAATTAAAATATAATATTGTAGATTAAAAACATAACAGTGTAAAAAACATATGAAAATATATTTTACACTGTTACAATAAAATATCTTAAAACATTATCTTAAATTATCTTAAAACAATGTAAGTATAAAATTATAAATTGAATAAATTGGAGATTGTTTATTAAGTAAAATTTATTTTTATATTATTTCAGATTTGTTACATAAAATGTATATATTTTTTTTAAATTTTTTGCAGTTATACTTTTTATCCATAAATAGGGTTTAAAAAATAATTCAGAAAATGTATTATAGTATCTCAAAGGTTGACAATGTAGTTTTAATAAAAAATTCAATAACAGACTAAGCCAGGTATTGAGTGTGAAGCAGTATGGCCGAAGTTTAATTCACTATGAAATTATCACTATTAAATTCACTATAAAGTAAGATTTGAGTTGTTTATTGCATTTTTATATTTATAAATTATTTTCTGTTTTCGTAGTAAAACTGTTATAATTAACACATGGAAAGGTTTTATAGAAAAAAAAAAATTAAAATTAAAATTTGAGATAATACTTAAATAGTGAGGTATTTTTATTATTTATGTCTCTGACACCTACAGTTGAGAATTAAATACTTTTATTACAAATTTAAACTAATACTAACCTTGTTTTATTTTGTTATGTTAATAATTTATTTATGGTTATTTTTTATATTAAAATATAAATTTAATAAATTGTTTTAAATATAATCTATTGTTAAATTGATATATACATATATAAGTAAATATGTTGATTGAATGAATAGTATTAATAAATATTGATATTAAAAAATATATATAATGGATATGCATTTGGTTTATTTCTATATTTAAAATAATGATCTAATCTAAGAAAGTAAACATTTTTGTTATCTTATTTTTTTTTTTACAAATCAATTAAACATTCATATTTTTATTTTAGATGATTTGTATATTTCAATATAGCTTATTAAAATTAAAATTTCAAGTTAACTTTTTAAAGTAGGAATATACTACATAACAATTTGGATTAAATCATATACTCTTTTAAATAATTTATGTAATTTAACAATAACTAACTTGTAAAAATACTTTAAGTCTATCTAAAGGCGCTGTAAAAGTTCTTGAAACTGCGCCAGCTACACCGCCAGATACAAGATGCCGCCACCACATACCTGTTATCATCTCAGCTTGAGTGAAGTCATCGGGTACATTCATATCTTCTCCGATGTCTAAATACTAAAAATGTATTTTTACTATTAATACACAATTTGACTTAAAATAAATTGTAATTTTAATAATAAATTAAAAGAGTAGATTATTTTTCCAAAATAAATAATAATTAAAGAAATACTACTGTTCTTTCCTAATTTCATTTTCTAAAATGTATTATAATAAAATGTTTTAATTTTTCACATGTCGGTTACATCTCTTCCTCATTATTAAAATATTTAAAAAACTACTCAATTATAAATTTATTTTTCTTTGTTACATTAAGATTTATTTAACGCACGCATTTATTAAACTACAATAAATGATTATTTTGATAAAGATGTCATATGAAAAACAGTTTTTAAATTCAATGAAAATTTAAGTAATTAGAAATTATTAATTTTATGAATATTAAAGTACCTATAATTAATCATGGTTATTCATTCTCAAAAAAATTACAAACATTATATACATAAAAATATATTGAAATTTAGTTTTACAGTATTCAATATTTCATCATAAAGTGTAAAAATTTAAATTTAATTAGAATAGCTTTAAGACATTGTAAATATACTTTAAATTCACAAAAATATAGATTAAAACAAACAAGAAATTATTATTATTTTAATAATAAGTACTCATTCAAAATATAAATATATAATTTGCATTACATTTTTCTATAAATATTTGAAAAAATATCCAGCAATTAATATTGAATTGGAATTTTCCCAAATTACTTAGCAAGTAATATTTATTTGTTAATTGTATTTTATTAATAGTGTCAAACATGAACAATTTTAACCTTGAATAATGCGAGCTCAACCTACAGATACCTGCCAAGTGCATATTACACTATTAACAATATATTAATTTTTTGTTTACATTTTCAATTAATTTGTTTTTAAAAATTAATATAATTTTGTAAATTATATTATGGCAATATAATTTAAAAAAGCAACCTGAAAATAATATTTTTAAAAAAAAATAAATTAATAAAAGTATAGATAAAAATGTATAGTATAGATAAGGCAGTTGGACCAATAATAATTTTTTCCTAAAACAATAATAAAATAATAATTTATTTCATAGAATAAAGACTATGCTTAACAAGTAGGTATATGATTAACAAGACGTATATGTTTATCTATAACTGCTGATAAGATTAAAAACAATTAAATAAACAAGGAAGAGTTTTTGATAAAATTGCATATTTAAATAATAGACCAAAGTCTCAGGAAATTATTTAGCTATTACACTATGAAATATGCATTACAATATATAAAATAATATTTATAATTTAAATTAATAAAAAAATGTTCATAGTATCTTTTTATTTAGTACTTGTAAAATTATTATATTTATATTATTAAAAAAATAAAATATGTACATAATAATTATTTATAATTATAAAATTAAAAAAAAAATTAATCTAATTTAAAAATATAAATCAATTTCGTATTAGGTAAGTTAATACTTAGTGCATTAAATATGTTTAAAAAAAGAAACAGTTTCATTTTAAATACTTACGTTTTTCGAAATCATTTGTTTATAAAGTTCTAAGTACGATTTATAAATATCACAACATGAAAGACAATTCTCTTCATAGTCAAAATTACATAAACATTTAATTTCGTCATTATCAAATGAGTAAATTAATATTTTATAATTCGTATTCATAATAGCTTTCATGTATTAAAAAAAAGGCAAATAGTAATTGAAATAACGCGAATAAAATCACTACATCACATAGTCGGGTCTACTAAAATAATTCTTTGCACAGGTCTAAAACAGAGCGTTGCTGAATGTCAATTGGCGGGGGTATTCACACACGTGATACTAGCATATAATTATCTACATTCTCGACGTTATAACTATTTTTTATTTTTGATACTTTTAATATCTTCGTTACGCATTAATCGATCAATCTACGGTTTTTCTTAATAATAAATTATAATCGCTTGAACAAATATATCAAGATTTTTTACTCACAGTTGAATGCCTCCAATATTTAATTAATTCATGTAAGTCTGTAAATGGACAGTACAATAAAAAATCTCTCCATTCTTCAAAGCTTATCTCCAAACTACCATCTTTATCCATCCTAAATTGAAAATACAATAATAAATTAATTTCGTTTTATTTAGAATCAATATTTTAAAATGTTAACTTTTTAATTAACTGACCTCTTAAGAAGTTTTATGGCTTCAGCATCGTCAACTTCAATTCCTAATTCTTGAAAAGCTCTGATAAGCTCATATCGATCAATTTTTCCTTAAAATAAAAATAGAAAAAACTTTTTTGAATTCTAATAAAAAAACATATTTTAACACATACATAAAACTACATTATGTTAAAGCAGTATTTTTTTTTAACTGCGATACATTAATACCGTGTGTTCACCAATTTAGGGAACACTGAATTTCTCGGTCGAATTATGTTGGAATAAATCAAATTTTTTTTTTTACAAGGTAGTAGTATATAAATACACATTTTCAGATAAATTTCAAATTTTTTAACCCTCTTGGTACGCGCATGCGCAATGCAACTTATTATTTTTTTTTTTTTTTAATAGCAACCGGTATTTTTGACACCAAATTCGGATAGACTGAATTTTTTTAAGTAATTTAGACCAGTTAACCATGGCTCTAAAATCAAAATTGACTGAATGAGAGTCGTTTAAATTTTAATAAATAATACATTTTTACAATTCATTATAAAATGCATAAAACCATGTAGGTAATCAATTTTAATTAAATAATTGTACATCCATATTATGTTAATCTTGTTTATAAAACGTATAAAAAAAAAAAAAATACGTAAAAATATTCAAAAAGTAACCAATAATAAATAATTATAAATGGTTTTATGCATTTTATAATGAATTGTGTTATTTATTAAAATTGAAATGGCTCTCATTCAGTCAATTTTGGTTTCAGAGTCATGGTTAATTAGTCAAAATTACTTATAAAAATTCAGTCTATCCGAATTTGGTATCAAAAATACCGGTTGCTATAAGAAAAATTAGTTACATTGCGAATGCGCGTACCGAGAGGGTTAAAAATTTTAAATGTATCTGAAAATGTGTATTTATATACCACTAACCTATAAAAAAAATTTGATTTATTCTAACATAATTCGGCCCAGAAATTCAGTGTTCCCTAAATTGGTGAACACACGGTATATCTACAATGCGCAATACATAAGTTTATTTCAGGAAGTCAAACAAAACAATATTCTATATAGCGTACATCAAATTAGGTTCAATAATAAAGTATTTATCAGTATTTTATGTTATAAGTAGAGATCGGATTTATACTCTCATAAAATCTTTAAAATATGATGTATTTATGTCGTTTAAAAAAGGCAATATATTTCTTAAATATTCTTTAAAAACACCAAATTTATAATGTTTTATGTTCTTAAAAATACAAATAATCTTTCAATATTCAGTAAAAAAATTATTTTTTTAATGACTTGTTTTAAATTTATCATTTAATAAATGTTATAACTAATTAATTTGAATTAAAATAACATTTTTGAAAAAAAATTAATTTTTGGGTCAATTTTAACGGTATGTGAATTACCCCTAATAAATAGTGATTCATTTTTATAACAACCTAGAATGGTATAAAAATAACTTATATTGTGAACATTGTAGTTGTTGATCAATATTATCAAAATGTCGTTGTACACATAATACATGGATGGATGTACAAATATTAGGTAATATAATGATAAATTATTTTGTTCGAAAAAAATATTTACAAAAATAAATGTTTATAAAATATTCTCAAACGTATTGAATATTCCTTAACTCCTAAAATATGCTTTTTTTATGCAAAATCATTTTAATTCTGTGTTTCATGTCTTACTCCCATTTAACTGCAAAGACTAGAAACAATATGGAAAATCATAAAAATCCGACTTGTAGTTAAAAATATTTAAAATAGTAAAACATAAAATTTCTTATAAAAGTAAAATTAATTTTGTATGATTGGCAACTATAACTATGTGTTAAAATAAATGACACATAATATATGTTTATTCATAAAGTAGCTAAAGTTTTTTAAGTTAAAAAATGAAATGGTTCCGACTTATGATTGAATTTTATTCAAAAATACTAAAATGTATTATAAAAACTATTTCAATGTTATTCAATCATTCTGTCGAATTTATCTTAAAATGTCTATTTTAAGTACTAGAGAAAAAAAATATACACATAATAAGTATAATGTAAAATATATACATGAGAAAAAAAATATAATTTTTTGTAAGAACACCATTGTGTATCGTTTTAAATTAATTAAATTATTATATAAATATTATTGTATATCTATTATCGCGGTATAGCCCTTCTGAGTGTTGTGTATAAAGTTTTCGCGAACTGTATCTTGTCAAGGATAAAAACAAAATCAGAGCAAATCATTGCAGATTATCAAGGAGGCTTTAAGCCAGAAAAATCTACAACAGACCAAATATTTATTCTCCGACAATTATTCCAAAAGACTTGGGAATTCGACAAGGAAACGTACTCTTTATCGACTTTAAGAAGGCATACGATAGTATACATCGCAAAAGCTTGATAAATATACTTAGAGAATATGACTTCCCACAAAAATTAGTAAAGTTAATCGAAACATGTATTATTTTTAACGTTAATTAAAATAAGAGTAAGAAAAGCGGAATCCGACCTAGTAATTGTAAATTCAGGCCTTAGACAGGAGGACTCTATGTCACCTGTTCTCTTTAATTTGGTATTAGAAAAGGTTATTAGATAAACTAATATCAGACCCCAGGAGGGGATGCCACTACAAGGGTCCTCCATAGTTGTATTGGCTTATGCAGACGATTTGGTCCACATGGATAAATCACACGATGGACTAAAAATACTATGAGGCCGTTTGGAGGAGGCATCGAAGAAGGTTGGTTTACAAATAAACGAAGGAAAAACTGAATATATGGTGGAGGGAAGAAGAGATAGTACGAGAATATATCTTTCCTTAAGAGTGGGCAAACATGAGTTTGACTGATCGAGTAATCGAGTTAAATAATTTAAATATTTGGGTTCGATACTAACCGAAAAAAATGAAACTGAAAAGGAAGTAGCAGCAAGAATCCTGTCGGGGAACAAAAGTCTTTACGGGCTCACAAAAATACTTGGATCACGTTCCCTGTCGAAAGATATAAAGGTACAGTTATATGTTACACTATTACGCCCTACAATTACATATGGAGCAGAAACATGGACCTTAAGAAAATCAGAGGAAAACAAACTGATTATTCTAGAGAGGAAAATCTTAAGAAAGATTTTTGGCCCAGTACAAGATGAGAGACTTGAGGGATGGAGAATAAGAAAAAACTAAGAACTAGAGGAACTCTTTCGGAAGCCAAATATATTAAATATAATCCAGAGTAGGAGGCTACAGTGGGCGGGTCACGCATGGCGTAGTCAGAACCTACTAGGTACTACAAATAGTTTTGACAGAGAACCCTGAAGGGAAAAGGCCTCTAAGACGTCCCCGTTTAAGATGGGAAGATGTAGTAAAGTGAGATGTAGAATCGTTGAACAGTGGTCCAGATTAGAAAACAAAAGCAGCTGACAGTCCTGGAGGATTGGTTGTTTGACGGGATGGTCCTAGTGGCCGGTAGTACCCAAGAAGAAGAAGAAATTATTATAACTTTTACAATATTTGTTATTTTAATTTGAAAATATTTGAACCCTAATTCAATACCAACAATAATATAAGCTATTTATTAATATAGGATCCAAATGGTTGCAAGGAACCTGTTCGTTTTTTATACATAGAATATATTCCATAAATTGGAAATAGAAAGTTAGTCTGAGGTATAATAAAATTAATAGATTTTAACTCAAATTAAATAGAACTATCCTTCCTTTATTCAATAAATAATAATAATAATAATAAATAAAAATATTAAAATTCAACACAAACAAGTAAACATTTTGACGCTCCACTAAAATATTGGTGTTTGTGGAATTAGACACATTTTTTTTTAACTGGCAATATTTCGTCACCTGAAGTACAGGGGTATTACAAGTACAAGGGTATTAGTGGTTGATGAAAACTGGAGGGTAGTTCATAGACCCTTATATATTTTCTGGCAGGGTTACTACAATATCGTCTTTGGGGAGGAGGGGGTAGTTCCTAAAGCTCCCTAAATTACGTGCCTGATAATTTCCTCAGGTTATGATAGAAATCAGTAATCTTTTCGATGACAGACAGCAGTGTTTATTATTAGGCTTACGAGTTCTATAGATTAGTGTTGCGTGCCGGTTTGTATGTACTAGTACTCTGCACGGTCCGTTATTTTAAGGACCAGACCGAACCACACTTAAACAGTAGCCGTCGCAAGGGGAAATTTTGGGGTTCAATCCCCCCCCCCCAGAAATGAATGAATGATTAATTTCAAACATAGTTATCCTACCTTATGTACCTTAAAAAAAATGAATTGTTCAAAATAAGATTAAAGCATGCTAGAAAAAAAATGTTTTGTTAAGAAAAGTGAATTTGTAATAACTTGTAATTTTCCAAACATTCTAAAAGGTATTGCTACTTAAAACTCAAATTTTTGAAATTTTCTGATGGCAATACTTCGTAAAAATAATGCGTGTTAGTAAGTCGCATATTATCAGTAAGTAAAAATAAGTAAATATATGTAATCGATATAATATTATTTACAATGGTACATTATGATTGATGGTTTCCCTAAATATAATGTTGTATGGTCATGTGATAATGATGGACAATAGTCAATAGTCAATTATTTCAAAATAACGGTAATCAGTCCCGTATTTAGAGGGGACACAGGTAGGCACATGTGCGGGGCGTCAAATCTCAGGGGCGGCAAATATTTTAGCAAAATTAATTTTAAAAATGATGTACCTAATGAAAAAAAAATACAACAATGAAAAAAAGAAAATGGTATGTTTTATTATGTTATAATTTGTTTAATTTGTTAGTTAAAAAAAAGTATAAACGATTTTAATTTATAAGTTATATATTTTAATATTAAAGAAATAATATGTGTTATATTATTATTATTTATTTATTTTTTTTTTTTTTTTTGGGGGGCCTAATAAAATAATATGCCCGGGGCGCCAAATTTTTAAATACAGGCCTGACTGTAATTATTCTTATTATTTCAAAACCCTCCCCGAAATTTTTTTTCTGCGTACACCCCTGCATTTAAACGTTAATCAAAGACCAAAATTGAACCGAACTGACGGCTTCATATTAATTTTAGACCGG